GGGAACCACCACGGCTATTCACAGCTACTTGACGGGACGTCTACCCGCTCAGATCCAGACAGCCACGTGCTGTCAGGTCCACGCTGAGGCCCCGGAGATCGTAGACGTAGCCCGCTGAATCCATTCCCAGAGACGAGCCCCGAGCATCCGCGTGACTCGCCTTTTATCCGCCATGGCGTGGCCAGGTTCCGCCCTTGGCCATGCCCTCTTTCCAGATCTTTCTGGTAGAGTCGGGGCTCTGGTCACGCGCCCCGTCACGTACCACCTGGCCCCCGTTATCCCCTCGTCCGGTCACGTGGCCTGCCCTGGTTCATCTGGAGTACCATGTCCCCACACAGCCTCGACTCACTGGCACCCGGACCATGCCCCCTAGGGGCCCAACCCCACGCCTGCAGTACCTCCTTTCTGCCGGTACAACACTATATACACACTATGTACTCCACTACATCACCCCCCCCCCCCCTTTGTAAAACTCAGCCATCCCGGCTGACAACAAACACAAGAAAACCAACGTGCGTGTGCCTCAACAGGAATAAAAACAAGAGAAAAGAGAGTGCAAGAGCAAGACGGCACAATAAATACACAATTTTGATAAACTACAGATTTAATCAAAGGGAAGGGGATTGGGAAAAGAAGAGGACAAGAACTGTGAGCAATATACAATGGCCGGCTCCCACTTTCCCCTCCATCAGCACCCTGAAATTCCCATGCTGTGTGTCAACACGCACGAGCACAAGATGGGCTAGATTCAGCCAAAAGCCCAACTGACCCGTGCGTGTGAGCACTCACAGACGGAGCAGGAAAAGGAAGCCGGATGGGGGCTAGGAGAATGTCAAAGTCTTCGAACGAGTTCTTGTTTGCCGGCTCTTCCAGAGCTTTGGGCTTTGACTTCGTGGAACAACCAGGGGGAATTAGAAAATTGCCTAACAGGCGCGGCCCCTCTCGAGGAACGGCGGCATCTGGCACAGGGCGGGCAAGCGATGGATGCCTCACACCCCACGATCCGCCTGGAGTCGGCGCAGCTGGTGACGCTGGTGATGTCAGGTGCTCCGGTCCTGTGGATGGCACGACAGAACTTCCCTGAGGCATGATGTCATCAGACGTATGCCCCAGCTCGGTGGGCACACCTGACACTCGGCCCTTAGGTGGTGGAGATGAAGGAACATCGCGAGGCAATACACACGGTTTAAGACGCGACGGATGCATGAACCAACGCCGGCGATCAAACTGAATTTGCACACACTGTGGTCTATTAGCTTGTACCACTTTGACCGGACCTCACCACGGCTTGTGCAATTTTGGGGACGTGCCAACTGGAAACTGTGGGCAATGCAGCCAAGCTCTGTCGCCTGGCACCCATTTCTTCCCGATACCCGAAGCCTTTCGTTGGCCAACTGCCGCGCAGGCAAATTCTGCTTCGAAGCTTCTTGTGCCTCCGACATTTGCTGTAGGGTAAACCGCATGGGCCCCAATATGTCAACCTTTTTCCTTGCGGGGTCCGGATTCAATTGGACATCAATCAGGGGATCATGTTCCCTGCCGTACATTAGAAAAAACGGTGAAAAGACAGTGAAAGCATGAGGGGCCATCCTGTAAGCTGCAAGAACCCCCGGTATGTGTAAGTCCCATCTGACTGAGCTTCGTTAACTTGCTGACTCAACATGGAAGTCAGAGTCCTGTGTAGGCGTTCGACCATACCATCCGTTTGGGGGTGATTTGGTGACAGACACACCTTCTTTGTACCCAACAAATCACACACTTCCTTCAACAATTTAGATGAAAATTGTTTCTGTTGATCGGTAAGGAGGCGCTCCGGAACCCCCTTATCCAACACATAGCCATGAAGGAAAACGGCCAACTGGTTCTGAAGAGGCCAGGCCATGAGCCAACGTGAGAAGTATTCCACTCCCACCAATACATACTTATTTCCTCGCGGCGTGGTGGGAAAAGGGCCGAGAACATCGAGCGCGACCAGTTCGTTGATACACGACACCACAATCGATTGCAATAGCGAATTGCACATCTTCGGTGGTGGTTTCCTACAAGCAAAGTGCAGACAGCCTTTAGAACATAGACATCATCTGCCATCCCGGGCCCAAATGAATCGAGTTTCAAGGTTGCAATGGTTTTCTGCACACCCAAGTGCATGAGTCTTTCGTGCACCGCCCAAATATTTTTTCCCCTCAATACTCTGGGCACCACCACACCATAACGCCGCAATCCGCCATCCCAACACATCAGCAGACCCCTTTTGAGGATGAAGGGAGCCAAGCTCTATCGATCCTCGTTTCCTTTCGGGTCTTTAACCCGGCGTCTGAATTTTAGCAGCGAGGCATCCTCAGCCTGGAGTGGTCCCCACTCCGTATGAGACAAACCAATGGTACTATCACAGGCTATGGGATCTGTGGTGTCATCAGGGATAGTGACATCTGCTGCTGCAATTACAGAGGGAGGCATCTCCATCCCAATTGTTTTACAGTGTCCCGATCCCGTGAGATAAGCGCAATCATTACCTGGCGGCAACCGAGACAATGCATCTGCGTTGATGTGACGAGTGCCCCTCCGAGAGGAAACCTTAAGAGGATAGTCCTGCAGGACTTCCAGCCAGCGTCAGAGCTGGCCAGATGGTTGTTCAATACACATTGCGTATTGGAGAGCCGCATGATCTGAGCGTACTACAAAGCTCCTGCCATAGAGATACGGGTGGTATTGTTGTACAAACACCACGATTGCCAGAAATTCCCGTCTTGTCACGCAGTAGCACTGCTCGACTGGAGACAGAACCCTACTGCCGTATGCGACTACGTGCTCTACCCCGTTAACAACCTGGGACAGAATGGCACTATTAACAGTGTTACTAGCATCCGTATCAAGGATGAAGGGTAAAGAAAAATTGGGATATCAGAGGGGAAGCGCATTGACCAGTCCGTCCCGAAGCACAACAAAAGCAGCCTCTTCCTCCTCCCCCCACTGAAATCTCTGACCCTTCACTGTGAGAGTGTGAAGAGGTTTCACAACAGTAGCAAAACCCGGCACAAACCGGCGGTAGTAAGAGGCGAACCTGATAAAACTGCACACCTCACTCACCGACTTGGGCGTTGGCCACGTGCGCATGCACATAGTTTTAGCTGGGTCCGTCGCAATTCCCGCCTCGTTGACATTGTGCCCCAAGTACCAAACAGATCTTTGCAATAAGTGGCATTTCTGCGGTTTAAACTTTAGGTTAGCCGCTCGCATTTTGAGAAAGACTGCTCGCAGTCATTGTAAATGCTCCTCAAATGTGCATGAAAAAACAATAACGCCATCCAGGTAAATCAAACTGGAGTCCCACTTGAGTCCTGCGAACACTAGCTCTATGAACCATTGGAATGTGGCTGGAGCGGAGGGAAGACCAATAGGAAGCCGTTTTGGGTTTGGAGCACTCATCAAGAGGCAGCTGCCAGAATCCCGATGGTAAGTCAAGAGTAAAAAAATTACGCGCTCCCGACAGAACGTCCAACTAATCATCCATTCGCGGAAGTGGGTATGCGTCAGCTACGGAGATCTTATTCAACTTGCGGAAGTCGACACAAAATCTCAAACTGCCGTCCTATTTTTTTAAAAAGGACAATAGGAGCTCCCCACGGACTGTTAGATGGTGAAATGACGTCGGCGGCCAACATCTCATCAACAGCCTGACGCACATGGTCCTTTTCTGTGGGGCTCAATCTATACGGGTTCTGGCGAATGGGGGCTGCGTCACCCATATCAATGTGGTGATGCAATAGATCTGTGTGACCAATGTCGTATTTGCCTTGACTAAAAACGTCCGAAAACTCCCGAAAAAGCGTACGCAACTGGGCACTCTGGGTAGCTGACAAATCACGGTTTTCGGAACAAAGCGTGTCAATCCACCCCTCATTGCCCCTCTGTGCCTGTTTCATAACCAACATGGCCCCAGCATCGCGCGTAACATCTACATCGCAACCGGCAAGCAATGCATGGGCTAAAACACTACCCGCCTGTATGACAGACGTGTCCACCCCTGCATTAAGGACCTGAATGAAAGGTTCCTGGTCAACGGATACCAAGGTCTGAGCCCCCACTAATGGCAAACCCCAGTCGGCTTTTTTTGAAGGACTCAAAAGGATACCACTCGCGGTTGAATCACGGTGATGCTGCTTCCGCAATCCTAAGGGCACAAGCATTTACGCGCCCGGGGGTATTCTAACAGTAGCACTCGCCATCGCTTGGACCGTAGCATGAGCTGTATGCAACCGAGTTGGAGAAGAAAGGAAAGCCATACGGCGGCCTTATGGCAACTCAGTACAACCCTCATCAATCTAAATTTTCAAGGGCATCATCCCCAAAAAGTCTGTTCCCAGCAGACAGGGTACAGCCAAAGCAGTCGATACCAGTACCGGTCCTGTCAACTCGATGTCACCAATCTGTATCGTAGCCATAATTTGACCGAGTTTACCTAGCGACCCCCCATTCACAGCAAAACACGGATTACCACAGCGTGAAGACTACGCGATTTCTGTGGCAAAACATAAAAAAATAACTCAGAAATTATGGTAGCAGATGCTCCGGTGTCATTCAGCACCCGCACCTCCACTCCTTCCACAGTACCAACAACCGCTGATGATCCCGCAGCTGTGGCGATCACACGATGCGCTAACGTGGACCACTGGCTCGAGTGATGTGGCCAACTATCCCCCGATGGAACTCGACTGTCATACACGGCGTCCTGACAACAATGTTCAACATGTGAACGCAAACCGACACACGCACACGATGAATGAGATGTTTGTATGGGCCGAGTGTGTGGTGTGTCGCGACTCGCCTGAGGACTCAGCGGAGTTGGAGGAAGACGGTGGCCCCGCAGGCCTTCCTCGCCCAGCACGGCATCCCCTTGAGACGTGGCCCGGCAGACCGCAGTTATAGCAGACGATGAGGTTATTTGCCAGACGAGGAAGGTTCCCCCGCTGCAGGCCTCGCCATCCTCGCTGTGCTATGTCGCCTTTTCTCCAGCCACCGCTGTCGATGGAGGCGCACAAGGGAAGTTCTTCTGTCTTTTCGGGTACAGCCAACACCTCGGGAGGTGCGGTGCATGCCGCCACCCCGGCACGTTGTTTGAGATGAAGATGGGCTTGGATGATTCGTGCAATTTTGAGGGAAGTGAAGTCATCATCCTCCGTAGCCGGGAAAACTACTCCCAGCTCTTCAGCCAATGCCAGCATGCACTCAAGCACCATCGAGTCCATCCCCTCTCATTCCATCTTCGGGAAGGCCGCCCAACCCAATGCCAAAAGTGCACTGCAGAAGGCAAGAGGTGTCTCGGCCTCCCCCTGCCACCGTGCGGCAAACTTATGTTATGTTATATTCAACGGTGGGTCGTAGATGGCTGCCATTTGGTTAAAAACTTTTTGTAGCGTGGCCCTCTCAGTTGGCGGGATGGTGTCAAACGCCGCCAGGGCATCATCATCAAGAGTGGTGGGGAGCGCACGTAGCGCTTCCACCTCAGTCTATTGGGCCAGTTCACAATTAGCTGAGAAACGGCGAGGAAAAGCTTTCCAATAACCTCCCCTAGTGGAGAATTCTTTCACGAAGGGGAGTCGTCGCTCTAGTGAAGACACTTCACGTGTCATTTTCTGCAGAGAGCTCGCCTTTGCAGAGTCAACGACCCGCTCAACCACGGGCGGCGCGCCAGAACTTTCCCGCGCAGTTTGAAGAAGCTTGGCAAGACGAGAACGGCTCGCCCGTTGCTCTGTTCAGATGGCGGCGGTGGCACGGTGACGTGACGTTTGACGCACTGCTCCGGCTGCAACTTTATCTCGTAACCTTTTTCCGAGACAGCGGGCCCTGGGGCTGTCTGGGGAATTATTGCTTCGTCCACGTCCGAATTCGTCGTTGTAAGTCGTTGCCTCCGTGTGAACATGACACCTACTCTTGGCTATAACTTAATAATATTTTCGACCACTTCCAACACCAGTTGTAGTGGGTTATATTCAGACACACGCCAAGACTTGGAGGCAACACGTTTATTCCTTGAACAACATAACTTCCACTGGATAACTACTTAAGATGTTGACCACCACGGGCTAACACATAACCACTCAATAGCGAGACTATATATGGCGGTAACCTCCACGGGTAACTTCGTGAACATTGACGGGATATCTATATTCGGCGGGAACCACCACGGCTATTCATAGCCACTTGACGGGAGATCTTTCTGGTAGAGTCGGGGCTCCGGTCACGTGGCCCGTCACGTGCCCCCTGGCCGCCGTTATCCCCTCGTTCGGTCACGTGCACTGCCCGGGTTCATCTGGAGTACCATGTCCTCACACGGCCTCTACTCACTGGCACCCGGACCATGCCCCTTAGGGGCCCAACCCCTCATTTATGTGCTAGGGAGAGGTCCCACACCTGCAGTACATCCTTTCCGCCGGTACAACGCTATATACACACTATGTACACCACTACACATTTAACACTCAGACAAAACCACATCCAGCAAAGTTTACATGTTTATTGGAATATTGCAATGATTTTATTATTGACGTTACGTGATCACATTACATTTTACACTGGTTTTGGTGGCCATAACGGCAACATTTCGATCAGGAAACGGTGGCAAAAGAACCTGCTTCTTACTCGGTTTCCTCTCTATGGCGACAATAAATCTGCTCCAGCAAAGCATATTCACAACTCCACGGATCAGTGTGGTGACGTAGGGTCAAACAACCCCCTCGACTTGGCACAGCATTGGGAGGACTTTATCTGATAGTGTGTGTGTTGTAAGTATTATTTTACAAAGTGACTTGATTGTAATTGTCATTGACTTTCATCCACTTGCATATTCATGTGTTATAAAACCATAACCATGGAGATTAAATGCATGCCTTCATAGCAACATTTTTACTGATGGCTTATCACAATGGCATGTCACCATTTTTAGTTTTCTAAGGCAAAACCAGTAAAATTCACAATGTAGACCGTATTTCCAAACTATTTGCCACAACTACTGTATTGTAACCACGTAAACAACTGTTGCATTCACCCAAGCTATGTAATAATGTATACAATTAATATATAATATATGTAACACCTATCTTCATTTGCAATTAACGTACGTGCAGTATGTGTACGTTTGCTCAGATAACTCCTCCCTGAGCACTCTACAAATGTCTATGAATGAGGAGTCATTTCAAAACCTATGATAAGCAGATGATGTGAAGGTGGTCGAAGTTACAAATGAATGTGAACTCTGACCCAATAATTTGGCTTGTTGATCTAAGCCCAGCATGACCCACTGTTTCAAATCATAAATGAATGTCTGTGTGCACACGGTGATTAAAAAACTGCCTTTCACATCATAACCTGTCAAAAACCACCCCCAATTTAGCATCCGTCACACTTGGCTCACAAGCCTACCTTTAAACATTGTACTAAATATCGTGTTATTGCGTTGTTGTCGCACAATAATGACAGTTTTATTGTGCAATTATAATTTCCCAAATTCATCCCATTCAAAATCCCTGAATATATTTATTACTGTTCAATATCAACGGGATTACCTTTGTAACATTATAGTGAACAAATACCAGTAGTAATAGTTAATCACAGGCACCTGCATATGACTCATTCTGTATGATTAATAATTAACAACACACAAATAAGAAACCTTTTTCGAGTTCCATTCAATACCAAAACATCGTTTACCACTCATCATACCTTGGATGAAATTGCATTAAAAAGTATTGCCATTTAAAATATTTGGAAAATTGGGAATGTTGGGGCATACAATGAGCCACAGAAGAGTGACACATGAACTGGGGAACAAATGTAAATCAGATTTACTCTTGACGAACGTAAGTGAGCATAGGCCACTTATTTTCCTTCACAGAGTTGATGGCCAAGACCAGTGATGGAATGGCTATTGAAGGAGGGAACACTCTCAAGAGGATGACCAACCAGGTGAGATGGAAGAATGAGATCGGCGCATGCGCAGGATTGGGATAAGTTGTAGCATCGCAGGACTGTGTGAGGATGGCGACGGTGAAGCTTTCGTCCAGCAGTGGATTGAAAATGAATGATTACGAATGATTAAAATCCATTGCAAACCAATTAAAACAATGCATAATGGTAATGAGCATGTTTTCTTGGTATATATATGTCGATAGCTCAAAACTGGTTAGAATTACTTAAAATGACCGAAGAATAAATGTCGCCAACACATTCCCATTGAACATGCTGCATGTTATTTTACAGCATTATTAAAAGGGTCTCGTAATATTCTGCATTTTAATTATTACTTGGCCAATAGTAGACCGAGTGTAGGAATGTATCCAATTTAAAATTGCTTTTACAAAAGTACAGCATATAGACAATAAATTTAGTGGGTTTTATATACGGAGTTGTTTTTCATGCTTGAGTTCCAAAGTGCTTCTGAAATTATAATAAAAAGTGTTCGAATTAAATTTTGACATAAAACTTTCGTGACTGCAGGAATTCATATTCTATGGTTCTTTCGGTAAAGTCACGTAGATAGGAAATTTTTTTATAAAATAATAAAAATGAAAATAAAGTTAATAAAAAATAATTTAAAAATTATAATTATTCAAATTTTGATTTAAAGCTTTCGTGACTGCAGGGATTCATATTCTTGGTTCTTTCGGTAAAGTCACGTAGAAGGGAAACAATAAAATAATAATATAAAATAATACAATTCTCACGACGTTTCGATTGCAACACAAGCAATCATCATCAGGTGTAAAAGCTACAGCAAGAAAATTTGAAAAAAGTGGCGTTTTTTTAACGTTAGCACCACGGAGAGCGATTTGGCAGTTATTCAGATGGACAGTGATCTGCCACGGCCGAGGTGTTGGTCCTACCGTGTTTTAGGTCTGCTTTGTGTTCACGAATGTGGTCTGAGACATGTCGTTTGGTTTTTCCAATGTAACTACTACCACAGAGGCAACTTAGTTTGTAGACGCCAGGGTACTCTCTGTCCGGAATCACATCTTTTACAGACGGAACCAGATCACGGATTTTATGTAATGTGTTGAATCGGACCTGGATCTTGTGTTTATTCAATATTTTGGAGATCTTTTTTGTGATCCCCGCAATGTAGGGTAAAGTGGTGGTTTTGAAAGGCTCCTCAAGAGGGTCCTTCTTCATGGTTGGAGTGATAGCTTTGCGGATTGTGCAGTCGGAGTAACCATTAGCCTTAAGAGCTTGGTGTACTTGCTTGAGTTGAATAAACACAAGATCCAGGTCCGATTCAACACATTACATAAAATCCGTGATCTGGTTCCGTCTGTAAAAGATGTGATTCCGGACATACAGTACCCTGGCGTCTACAAACTAAGTTGCCTCTGTGGTAGTAGTTACATTGGAGAAACCAAGCGACATGTCTCGGACCGCATTCGTGAACACAAAGCAGACCTAAAACACGGTAGGACCAACACCTCGGCCGTGGAAGATCACTGTTATAATTCAGTAGGCTCACATGACATTGACTTCTTCAAGACAGATGCTATTTGCAAGCTATCTGGCTACCGTGAGACATTCGTTCATGAGGCTATTCACATATACAAACAGAGACAATTTCAACTGAGAAGATGGATTCTGGCTTAGCAATCATTGGAATGATTTGATAAACCATTTCGGGTCTTAATTGATTCTTCACGCTTATGGTGGATTTCAGACCGCATCCATTATTTTCGTCTCCCCCCTCCTCTTTTCCGAACATAGATGGACTCGTCCATCTGAATAACTGCCAAATCACTCTCCGTGGTGCTAACGTTAAAAAACGACACTTTTTTCAAATTTTTCTCGCTGTGGTTTTCACACCTGATGATGATTGCTTGTGTTACGTGACTTTACCGAAAGAACCAAGAATATAATTATTCACTTTATTTTTATTATTTTATTGTTATTATTTTTTCTATCTGCGTGACTTTACCGAAAAAACATAGAATATGTTCGAATTAAAACATGAGGAAAATTACATTTACTTTTAACATGTGTTACAACCTCACGAGTGATACATTTGTCAAAATTATAACATTGATTTTAGATAATTAGTGCACAGATTCGCAAAACTGTTTCCGCATTAATTCCGATGTGTAAAGTTTAATTGTTAAATAATTGGTCATTTAAATATTACTGAGAAATGGTACAAAATAAGTTTGTGTAATAAAATGACTTTGCTATATCGCGTGCTTTAAGATAATCTATTGAATAAACTCTTTAACAAAAACATTTTATCAGGTAAGGCCCACTGAGCTATATAGCTCTTTTTCAGAAGTGACCTGGCCAAAAATGATTGCTCAACGAAGTGGCTTATCACGTGCAAATGTATAGCAGGCAAATACCTAATGCATATTTCTACATGTGGAGGAAAAAACGGGAAGACCTGGAGAAATATCTACGTGACCACGGGGAGAACATGCAAACTCCAAATTTACTGGGGTCAGGGTCGGGATCGAACCCACAACTTTCTGTATACCAAGTGAGGTAGTTAAAATCTCACTACCGTGGCCACCTAACCTCGATATGAATAATCAAATTATTTTCAATCGACCAGCCACAGCGTATGGAAGCGCTATCAACCAAAATTACAAGACAGTGTGGAGAGTCTTTCAGCCAGTAGTTGATAAATTAAAGGGATATAAAATACTATTATTATTATAAAACCATATTATGGAGGGTAAATTTTCCATTGTAAATAGCAGGTCCACACCAGAGCAATCAGTTGTGCAACTTTGTTGAATGCAACTGAATCTCTTCATATCGGGTTGTCTCTGCAACCAAAGACGTCCACATGTAAAGCAGGCGATGGATCAAGGAACGTTATTTCAAGTGCAATTTCTCAGGTGTGGACCCAGCTTTACGAAGTGAAATGTAGTTCGTTTATGTTGCTAGTTCTGTTTATTTTTGTATGGACGTGAACTTTGAAGCCCTTTTTATGATTTTCTGAAATAGGAAGCCTGCTGGCAACAAATTTATTAAACATCTGCACACAAATACAATAATTGTATATATGTACATTGAGGGAAAAAAGTATTTGATCCCCTGCTGATTTTGTACGTTTGCCCACTAACAAAGAAATGATCAGTCTATAATTTTAATGGTAGGTTTATTTGAACAGTGAGAGACAGAATAACAACAACAAAATCCAGAAAAACGCATGTCAAAAATGTTATAAATGTATTTGCATTTTAATGAGGGAAATAAGTATGTGACCCCCTCTCAATCAGAAAGATTTCTGGCTCCCAGGTGTCTTTTATACAGGTAACGAGCTGAGATTAGGAGCACACTCTTAAAGGGAGTGCTCCTATTCTCAGCTTGTTACCTGTATAAAGACACCTGTCCACAGAAGCAATCAATCAGATTCCAAACTCTCCACCATGGCCAAGACCAAAGAGCTCTCCAAGGATGTCAGGGACAAGATTGTAGACCTACACAAGACTGGAATGGGCTACAAGACCATTGCCAAGTAGCTTGGTGAGAAGGTGACAACAGTTGGTGCGATTATTCGCACCAACTGTTGATGATGACCGTTTGAGTTATGGTCGAAACGTCGTGAGAATTTTTTATTGTTTTATATATATTTTGTTATTTTGTTGTTTCTCTTCAACGTGACTTTACCGAAAAAACTAAGAATATAAAATAACTGTCAATCTCCCTCGGCCTGGGGCTCCATGCAAGATCTCACCTCGTGAAGTTGCAATGATCATGAGAACGGTGAGGAATCAGCCCAGAACTACACGGATCTTGTCAATGATCTCAAGGCTGCTGGGACCATAGTCACCAAGAAAACAATTGGTAACACACTACGCCGTGAAGGACTGAAATCCTGCAGCGCCCGCAAGGTCCCCCTGCTCAAGAAAGCACGTATACATGTCCGTCTGAAGTTTGCCAATGAACATCTGAATGATTCAGAGGACAACTGGGTGAAAGTGTTGTGGTCAGATGAGACCAAAATGGAGCTCTTTGGCATCAACTCAACTCGCCGTTTTTGGAGGAGGAGGAAGGCTGCCTATGACCCCAAGAACACCATCCCCACCGTCAAACATGGAGGTGGAAACATTATGCTTTGGGGGTGTTTTTCTGCTAAGGGGACAGGACAACTTCACCGCATCAAAGGGACGATGGACGGGGCCATGTACCGTCAAATCTTGGGTGAGAACCTCCTTCCCTCAGCCAGGGCATTGAAAATGGGTCGTGGATGGGTATTCCAGCATGACAATGACCCAAAACACACGGCCAAGGCAACAAAGGAGTGGCTCACGAAGACGCACATTAAGGTCCTGGAGTGGCCTAGCCAAGTCTCCAGACCTTAATCCCATAGAAAATCTGTGGAGGGAGCTGAAGGTTCGAGTTGCCAAACGTCAGCCTCGAAACCTTAATGACTTGGAGAAGATCTGCAAAGAGGAGTGGGACACAATCCCTCCTGAGATGTGTGCAAACCTGGTGGCCAACTACAAGAAACGTCTGACCTCTGTGATTGCCAACAAGGGTTTTTGCCACCAAGTACTAAGTCATGTTTTGCAGAGGGGTCAAATACTTATTTCCCTCATTAAAATGCAAATCAATTTATAACATTTTTGACATGCGTTTTTCTGGATTTTTTTGTTGTTATTCTGTCTCTCACTGTTCAAATAAACCTACCATTAAAATTATAGACTGATCATTTCTTTGTCAGTGGGCAAACGTACAAAATCAGCAGTGGATCAAATACTTTTTTCCCTCACTGTATATGCATTGTGAGCAAATTAATATTACCGAGGTTCGTGATGGAGATCAATTACGTTGCCTTGCTGGTGAACGACGCTGGAAGGTTATCTGTTATCGTCCGGAAAAAAAAAAAACAATTGCACAACTGAGGAAACGTGGATGAAATGATATACAATGTGCAATAAAACACGCAATCATTTGCAACGTATCATTGATTCATATGCGTTCACCTTGGAATACCTGGACCAGTACCTACGAAGCAAGTCACCATTCAATCTACATTACACGTTGTACTTTTAACAACAATAACACTTATCAAAATATACGTTTGGGTTATTTTGGCACATGGAACTCCAATAGGTCAGTCTGGTAATATATATCTCGCCTTTCTGTGGGCTTAGCCTTGAGCCTGAAACTAAACTTCTTTTATTTTACCAGGTAAGGCCCACTGAGCTACGTAGCTCTTTTTCAGAAGTGACTTGGCCACTAATGATAGCTCAACGAAGTGGCTTATCACGTGCAAATTTATAGCAGCCAAATACTCTAAATGCATGTTTCTAAATGTGGGGGGCGGGGGGAGGACCCTGAGAAAAATCCATCCAACCACGGGGAGAACTTACAAACTCCAAATATTTAACAGATGTCAGGGTCGGGATCCAAACCATGACCCCCTTGTATATCTGGCGAGGTAGTTAACATTGCCACCGTGGTGCCCTGCATTGTCCAAAAGTGATTCAATATGTTTAAACACTAAAAACACCCCCCCCCCTTCACCATGGCTAACATCGCATGGCAAGGTCTTCATCCATAGACTTTAAAAAATATATGAACGAACATTTCACTCCATGTGCTTAGAAACTGAACATCTTTATCGATGCCAAAACACCCACATCAGTCCACTGTACACTCTAACAAATCGAAATATCAGTATATTGCATAGTTTTCAGAGTAAATTAATATTTAGGAATGGTACATGCTGTAATTGAAGCTCAGAATATGACCAATGAAAGGTGAGGTGAATTTTACAATATTTTTTTATTTAAAAAAAATTGTTACGTACATGTTGATCTCTTATTTTTGCATAACAAAATATTGTCTCAGGAATTAAAATACTCTCTTTTTACCCAAAGTGATTATGTATTTTGTATTTATTCCCATATACATGCAAGATCTGTTTTTATCAGAACTTTGTAAAATCAGAAACACTGAAAATTTAATGACTATATTATTTTATACCACTCATCTTCAGCAATAATCTCTGTTACTCTTTTAAAAAGGATATAAACATTTGAGATACTTACGTGGTATATATTGGTATAATCCTTCGTCACGAATTCGTGAACTGCAACATGATCACATGACAGTCAGTTAGCATAATGCGTACTCTCATTCCTTATATATGTAGTGGCATCGGTGGAGGCCACTGCATGAGGTATAAGCCGGCCTGCGTGAGGCACGATACGCGCCGCTCACACCAGCCACGTGCAGTGCCAGCTTCTGGCCGTTAGGGGGCGAGAGCGCCAGGGACGGCGCAGGGGTTCACCGGGGGCCATGGCACTCCAGGTGAACCCGGAGGCCTAGTGACCGGAGGTACCGGCCAAGGGGCCCCAAGGAGGGGGCTGGGCGGACCACGGGACCAGGACCAGGTCCCTCTCGAAGGCGTGGCTAGGGGCAGAGGAAGGCCCGGGACTGGCAATCTAAGCCGGACCCCTGAACAGGTCGAGGGGCTGCTGTTGCAAGACGGAAGACAGAAGCCATCACCCGGAGAAGACCTGCCCGACTAAAGGACCCGGGCCCGAGCCAGAGTTCGATCCGGGATAGCTACCCCATGTGAGCTAGGGTTAGCTAGCCCGTGTGAGCTAGGGTTAGCTAGGGTGAGCTAGGGTTAGCGAGCCAGGAGGAGATACCTCCCTAGGGTAGCTGGTGAAGGGGCAGTGATACCCCTTCGTGTTTTAGGGCTTATTGTGAAATAAACGTGTTGCCTCCAAGAAGTCTCTGCCTCCCTCGTGTGAACCACTACATATTTAACGTTCTTTCTTTTAGTACAGTAACCTAGCACAGGCCCAAAAAGGTTCAAGACCCAAAACGACAGGCAACAAATATCACTCGTAATCTTGACTTAAAGCTTTCGTGACTGCAGGAATTCGTACTGTTTTGGTCTTTCGGTAAAGTCACGTAGATAGAAAAATAATCAATCACGACGTTTCGTGTTCAGGTGAAAAAATACAGCAAGCGGACTGCTGCGGCAGGAAGATATATTGCGAGAGAGCTACTGCAGCCAAAGGTAATATAGGTTTGAGATGGGTACAACCCAAGGGTAAGTGGGCAGGGCTAGAGATGGAATTTGCAAGTAAATGTAAGATCGCAGAGCTAGGTATACCTCGGCTATTGTGTTGCTAGAGATTAGCATGTCAATCTGTTAATGTAACCACACGGCTACGGTGATGAAGAAGTCATTGTATTGCTCGAGATTAGTCATAACTGGCTGCGATGCTTCCATCCTACCTGCCTATGTTAGCAGTTATTTCCGACTCTCTGAGTTACATTACCTTGTTAAATGTCTTTACATTAACAGGCTAAATGTCTCACTAACAAAGCTGCTGCTCCCCTTTCCTCGATGCGGCGGTGGTGCTCGTTGGATAATAGGCTGAATGTCTCCCATTAACACAGCTGCTACTGCGGGAGCAATCTCACATTGACATGCTAATCTCTAATCTCGAGCAATACAATGGCTTCTTCAGCACCGTAGCCGTAGGGTTAAATTAATCTCGAGCAACACAATAGCTGAGGTATACCTAGCTCTGCGATCTTACATTTACTTGCAAATTCCATCTCTAGCCCCGCCCACTTACCCTTGGGTTGTACCCATCTCAAACCTAGATGGGTACAATCCAAGTAGCTCTCTAGCTATATTTCTTCCTGCGTCAGCAGTCCGCCTGCTGTATTTTTTCACCTGAAGACGGTTGCTTGTGTTGCGATTGAAACGTCGTGAGTTTTAAATATTTATTTTTTCTATCTACGTGACTTTACCGAAAGACCCAAAGAGTATCACTCGTAATGTTACATAAACAAGTTTATGAAACACTTTTTTGGCGTCCATGTACGAGGTGCCTCTGTGGATGTGTAGGCTTTGACTTTAACATCTATTTCTGTGACCAGTCACAAGCTAATCCCTTAGCTATTTCGATGCTAAATTACTAGTTGCCTCTGTGGATGTGTAGGTTTTGACTTTAACATAACCATTTCCGTGACCAGTCACAAGCTAATCCCTCAGCTATTTGATATGTAAACCCCTTTGTCAAGGTGCCTCACTTCTCCCAACCAGCTTAAAAGTTGCTACGAATCTTAACAGCGTTCATTGAAGCTCTGTGGATGTGTAGGCCTTTACTTTAACATCTATTTCTGTGACCAGTCACAAGCTAATCCCTTAGCTATTTAAATGCTAAATTACTAGTTGCCTCTGTGGATGTGTAGGTTTTGACTTTAACATAGCCATTTCCGTGACCAGTCACAAGCTAATCCCTCAGCTATTTGCACAAGCTAATCCCTCAGCTATTTGCACAAGCTAATCCCTTAGCTATTTCAATGCTAAATTAGTTGCCTCTGTTGATGTGTAGGTTTTGACTTTAACATAGCCATTCCTGTGACCAGTCACAAGCTAATCCCTTAGCTATTTCAATGCTAAATTACTAGTTGCCTCTGTGGATGTGTAGGTTTTGACTTTAACATAGCCATTTCCATGACCATTCACAAGCTAATCCCTCAGCTATTTGCACAAGCTAATCCCTTAGCTATTTTATGGCTAAATTACTAGTTGCCTCTGTGGATGTGTAGGTTTTGACTTTAACATAGCCATTCCTGTAACCAGTCACAAGCTAATCCCTTAGCTATTTCAATGCTAAATTACTAGTTGCCTCTGTGGATGTGTAGGTTGACTTTAACATAGGCATTTCCGTGACCAGTCACAAGCTAATCCCTCAGCTATTGATATGTAAACCCCTTTGTCAAGGTGCCTCACTTCTCCCAACCAGCTTAAAAGTCACTATGAATCTTAACATCGTTCATTGAAGCTCTGTTGTCCTGACAGTTCTGTACTTTTCACCTGAAGACGGCCTCTTGCGTTGTGGCCGAAACGTCGTGAGAATTTTATTGTGTTATTTTATTATTTTATTCTCATTCTACGTGACTTTACCGAAAGAACCAAAGAAGATTTATGAAACACGCTTCAAAACGCATTTATTTCTCTTTCGGGTGCCTCACTAGCTCCTACGTTTCTTTGTGTGTCCTTCCCTTGGCCAAGGAAGCATTAATTTATTTTATGTACAGCACTATGCCTCGTGTGAAGGCACTTTGCAAATGTTACGCATCATAATGATTCAGTGTCGTAGCACATCAAAGTGTTGCTTATTCAAATGAGCAACAGGGCAGCTCCGGTCACGTCATTTAGAGCGTGGATTTTTCCACCACACATTTGCAGGTACAACAAAAACAGATTTTACATTTGTTTAAGTAATGTACATTGCTAAGTCAATCCACTGCTGGATGGCTCTCAAACACCAAGTAGAGAAGTCAGTTGTTTGACCATAATTTACTAAGATGGTCAATGTCGATTTCATACGTACGCTTTTACAACCAACGTTATGATTCATAATTAATTTATTTTGGGTTAGATTGTATCGGTGTAATGCCAATTTTGTTTTGGTTGGTGAACGGGGTGCCCAAATCTGGTTCGTACACTCATACCACTGATGTTAGCAGTCATAGTGCCAACATAAGATGCACAAACCATTGTCCCCTTGGAGTTCTTCTCTATGAATCAAATTGCCAATTACGTTTTAAAAGCAATTTTTCCATGATAATTTAAAAACGCAAAAATGTAGCTGCTTTTCAACATATTTATCGAGATGATTGCAAAATCAAATTATTTGAATACCCTGTCGCTACGCTAATTCAACATTTCTAATGTAAACTAGTTTTTAAAACATGCTTAAATTATAATTGAACTTTATTTCTGATTTTGTACTGTTTTTTTGTTTTAACCTGTAGTTGTAAACTCGTTTTGAAAAGTGACTTTACATCTCATTGGACCAGTGCCTGTTTAAACATTAAAGACGTGTGTGTGTGTAGGCGCACAGTAGTGGTGGCATAGCATTTAGCACGTGGCGCTATAAACCCAGCGACCTAAGATTGATTCCTGACCATGGCTAATATTATTGGCAAGTGACATCTGAAAAGGTCACGGGTATCCCCTTCACCAAGCAACAATGTCCATCGCGGTGAAGCTTAATTAAACAACCCGAATGACTGACAAGATAATTCCCTCCCATCATCTATTTTTCCTAGTTCTAACAAAGCTTGATTCAAGAAATGTATGAACTTTTACCTACGACACCTTAAATAGTGCCGTTTGTTTCTGCCCAATTAGTGGTTTGTGGGCCTTTGTTCAGCAAGCACAATGCAACTCTTTTTTTTTAAATGACATTGACTCCAGGGATTATTACATACCTCTGTTTATTCCCAAATACATTGTAGCTTCTTCCTGTTTTGTATCGCCAGCATATGTAGGTGCCTATTCCAAGCAAAGCCAAACTTCCAAGACTTGCGAATAATATTGCGAAGAAGGCTGATGTTTTGATAGTGATGTTTTCACACGTGGGTCCATCAGAATGGTACAGTCCTTCTTGTTGGCAGCTAGAATAAAAACGTGTCCACTGATTACTACCATAGTTCCACATTTCTAAGATCCTCATTATATGCGAATACATTTCAAACTATAAATTCTGATTAATTTGCCACAAAAACTAATCAGGGAATTTGACACTGTTGAAAATACATGGTATTTACTATTATATTACAAACCTTGATAGTTTCAAAACACTGTGCTTTATTGTTTCAGGGTATCTTGTGCAGTTGTTGGATTGATTACTTTGTAAAGTCAATGAAAACTGGGTAATTTATATCTGGTACACATTGAACCTGAGCATTAAACAATGTCAGATAGACACACAACCAATGCCTCAGTATAATTAAAGCCACATGAACTATATGAGCCAAAAATGTAATCTGCTTACTCATTAAAAAAAATCCTACATCAATATCCATAAACATAGGAGTAAAATCAAAATATAAAAATATAGAAAAAATAGTGCCACAGTGAAATTAAGACCTTAAAGTTTTGGATAACCAGCTATCACTGTTCTCCAATTTATTTTTTTAAAATGTCTTACAAGTGTTTTGCAAGATTACGTTCATATGGTGTTGATAAACCATTTAAATAAACAGGTGGATAATGTGAAATATTCAACAGGACTTGCCATTTATTAGCACTGGTATACATGTATTAGTTGATGTCCGGTGAGACTGTGGTGCATCTGGGTTAGATGGCAGGGTATTTTTTTCCCCGTGCTTATAATAAAAATACATGAGGCTGTTATGCAGTGGAAACACATAGCAAGGCTTCAATAATTATCCTGAGCCTGACTCGCTATATGAGGATTAACAATAAAATACGTGAAAATAAATGCGGGAAAAAAGACTTAAATTTTACGTAAGTGTAAGTGATATGAACTTACATGCACACAGGCCCAGTGTTCGAGGGCAAACATGTTCCTCCATTGTTACACAAATTTGAGTTCACACAGGGAGACCTGCATACGATGTTGTATGTGCCATTCCACTCAGCTTTGTATCCAGGCATATTTGTACTGCATACTGTGTAGTTAAGGAGGTCATCCTTGGAAACTGAATACAAATAAAAATTGAGCATTAAAGTTTAAATATATAGTGCATATTATATTGTAACTTTATGTATAATTGATTAATGTATGTGAATATCACATATAATGTTGATCCTTTTACACTAATAATACGGCAAAATTTTAACAAAGACTGTTAAACGCATTTTCAGTTTAAAAGAAACGTATATTTAAAAAAAGACATATCACGCTTATAGATCAACATTCAAATATTTCGGTTACTTTAGGTTTGCAAAGCCGAGATTTATTACAGCCATGCGCATGCATATGTGGATTTGGAGAATTATGAAATTGTACGCGAGGTGAACTTCTTTCGCACCGTACGTAGCCGACCGTGCTCATCGGAGGTGAGTTAAGTAGGACGGAAATGAAAACAAGGAACAAAGAGGTGCTTCGTCAGGTGGGGAAGAATGTGAACTCATTCAATCGATTCGGGAAAGAAGGAGGACAACCCGGATTGCGCAGGTGATGGTCAGGAGAAAAGCTTGATGGCAGAAGGTCATTGGGGAGTGGGGTGCAATAGTGAGAGAGAATGAGCTGAAGGAGGAGATGCCTGTTCAAAGTCCTCACCCTGGTCTACAAATCCCTTCGTGACCTCGCCCCACCGTATCTTTCCACGCTTGTATCTTTCTACGTGCCTTCTCGCCCTCTACGTTCTCATTATTTGCTGTCTCTCTATGTCCCTCCTTCTCCCTGTGCTCAATTACGCTTTCGCTCTCTCTCTCTCTTCTCCCCCCACCCCCTTCACTGGAACAACTTCCCCTCCACATTAAGCAATCACCTTCGCTCACTAGTTTCCGCTCCGCACTGAAAACTCACTTATTTTCCCTTGGTCACCACACGGCCCCTTAATCTCCCCCTCATAAACGCCACCGTTACTTTTCCCTCTTCATATTCTCATTATATGGCTTTCACTCATTCCCCATTCATTCAATCCATTCATCATAATTTGCCGTTATCAATTTCGCTTTCACCGAATTCACACGTCACAGATTTGCACCCGTTGCTTCCTCTCACCTACTGCGTTGACCTCACCACTATTACATTAACATATACCATTGTTAATTCTTTGTAAATTCGCCTAGGTTAAGGCGCTATATGGATTCCTTTAGGATAAGACGAGGGAAATATTATTTAGGACAAGACCAAAAGAAAGGAGAAAAATAACGGCCAAGACAGACAATGTTCAGCAAAGACGAATGGGGACAGATGCAGAGAGCAGCGGAAGACGGACACGTGAAAGAGAGCAGTGTGCCTTGGACCTGTCTATGGACAAAGCACTTCATGATGTGTGCACATACGTGGATTAGACATTGTTGAATTTAGCAGTGTCAGGTTTTGTTGTGCAGCACGCGTGATATAGTTGATGTTATTAATCGTTGAATTTAGAGTCCCATCGTATATGGAATTCACATCCTGGTTTGTTGTGTAGTTAAAACGAGCAGTGCAGTTCAGGATAAATGGTATTGCGGCACTGAAAGGAACACAAATAACATGTTAAAGAGATCATTTTACTCATAAACAAAGTAAAAAAAACACTTCAAATAAACTAGTATTATTCCTACAGCAAATTTACAAATTCGTATGACACTATTAGACTTATCCACCTGACAAAGACACAACAATCCCTTTTAAATGTCCTCATATTGCTTTCTGTATACATTTCTAAAGTATTTATTTTCATTTGCATATCAACCTATTTTTTTTCTCTTACAGAATAACTCCTCTGATTCGTGGGCCTATTATCAGCGACTCCTGCAGACCCTATGCTTCCTATTATCCATGATAATCTGACATTTTCCATATATCTTTGTGGAACAGCATCCATTTATCCACGCCTTGTGGATAGCGGTCGCCCAATAAATTACTCATGTTATCCGTCGGTTATCTGTGGGCGGCACTCGCTTTGATCAAGAGACAACAAAGACACGATTAGCCTCTCAGAGACAAGGGAGACACACACAGCCAGAGACATTGAAAGGGAAACACAGAGGCGCAAATATAGACACAGACAAGGAGACACACAAATAGACACAAAGAGACACGGAGACACAGAGGCAGACGAGAAAACAGACACATAGAGACACGCACAGACACGCACAGACAAGGAGACACATACGACAAAGATACCCCGTATAGACTTAAACAGACTGTTGGGACAAGTGCTGTTAGCGAGCACCTATGAAGACCAGGACGATACACGAGGGGGTGGGTGACCAGCACCAAGTCCGAGCGCCTTTGTTTCCCCAGTAACGATGTTTACACACTGCACCAGGTACTCATTTGAGACTGAGTCGAACTCGGGAAGACCCGAGACCGGTTCAGATAATCGTTACTGGTGTTGGCCATGATTGGGAATCGAACTCGGATCCCTAGGTTTGTAGCTTCAGTGTGCTCACCACTGCACCACCGCTTCCCACACAGAGACACACACAAAGACAGGGAGACACACACAGACACTGAGACACAGAGAGACACAGAAACAGACAAGGAGACGCACGCATAAAAACGGAGACAGAGAGACAGAGCCACACACATAAGTGTGGAGACATATACAGAGACAGTGAGACATGGGGACATATTTTCAGACACAGAGACCTGGAGACACAGACATGGAGACAGACAAAGAAATACACACAGAAACAAAGACCAGGATAAACACAGCCCACGGAGAGATACACACAGAGACACATGGAGACACCAGGTAACGCAAACAAACACGGAGACGCATAAAATAGATCGGGACACACACAAAGATACACAGATGCACAGAGACAAACACGAAGACGCACACACAAAGATAAATGGATACATGCCGAACAAAGATAAAGAGACAAAGACAGACGCACAGAGAGAGTGAAAGAGAGCTTTGGGCAGGACACATCGCTAACCTTTGGCACCTACAGCACACGAGTTAAGAGACTCTTAAAGTGTAACACACCTTCGTGGGTCTCTGTCTCTGTACGCATCTAATTGTGTTTCTCTGTATCTCAGTCCGTGTTGCTCACGTGGAGACAGACGTGCATCAAAGGCACTCCGCTGCGTGTTAATGACTCATGTTACAATTCTTTTCGCGACTAACGTTCATCGCATGGTAAATTATACCTATTATCCACAGGTTATCTGTGATTTTTACCCCACAGTAAAATCGCGAACAACCCTGCAGATAATAGAATCTACGATAATGGTGCTCTATATCACAACGGATAAAGGGAGTTCTGTGTTATTACTATTATTCCAATTTGTACTATGTAATTATTCTTCCGTTATAAGGCACTATCAAATGACGAAGATTGTGTGAAGAGCTAAGTGATGTTCTGTACTGTCTGTGCTCATGTCTATTGGTGGGCCACTTAGTCGGCGGTGGTTGGCTAACCAACCTGATAGTGTTCACTTTGAAGTCGTAGTAGATTTTAGATACCATCAACTTCGTTATAACCTGTTTGAAACAAAACAACATCACGTTAACATTCAATGTAACAACAATACGGGGTTATCGATGCACAGATACCCCCACTGATAGGGAAAATTATAGATAATTTATAGATAATTTTGCCTTCATTTTTAAGTCTCCTCTACACGTCTCCCATCAATCTCAAATGGTGTACCTATTCAATAATTTAACACTCTCCTGATATGCTTTGTCCAACATAGCCGGTCTGATTTGCTTACGGCATTCAACGATACCCCACGCGTGAGCTCAGGTGTTCAATAGTTCGCTGCTTCAGTGCCCTACACACGCCGGTCTTTGACGTGATCCCCACGGGCATTAAACCCAAGCGGGGGGGAGGAGGGGGGCTACGGTCAGGTGAATGCGGGGCCAATGCATCCGTTCCATGACCATCAATACAACTCACGAACATCTCCTGTAACCAATTACGTACCGCATGACACAATTGGTCATGAAGAAATCGGCGGGGTATCTACAAATGGATCGCCCTGTATATTTGCATGTATTCTAACGTCAGAATATGCAGTGCCACAGGTGTTACGGATATATGTTAAGCTTTCACGGTTGGTAATCTCTGTGGGGAAATGCCAAGTTATATTATCTTCTGTAAATAAGCATGATATCAATTGAGGCAACTAGTTATGCAAGGCCAGGAGGATGATACTGTGTTAGAGCAGTAAGCTGATGCTGCTAAAGCCCTGGGTTTGAATCCATGTAGCAAACCAAAATTAAACTCGTTCAAGTGTAATGAGTTTTATGACCTCAGTCGCGTCACCAATAATGACTGCACGAAAATTTTCACGTTACATTAATTTCCTCACTGAAAATGTGTTCCTATTCAGCTCTTGAACACCCAAAACAGACTTGTTGGACATGTGAGGAACTCTTTACTTGGCATATAAACTACAACGCGACTCCAGGTGTAGTTTCGTGAAATAATATTCCAGGGCCTTTGTTTGACACAATGTAGTGTACTGATATCCACAAGAATTCCAAATGGAAACGTAACCATGTCTTAACATATGAAATACAATTGTGAGAATAAAAAATTGGGTATAAGGTTTACCACGTATGGTCACATTATACTAAATAATCCACAAAGACAGAGATCCCCCGTGTATAGCCTTAAAAAGACTGTTGGGGCCAGTTCTGCTAGCGAGTACCTATGAAGGCTGGCACAGCACACGACAGGGTGGGTGGCCAGCATCATGCCCGGCTGCCTTTCTGTCCCAATTGGAGATGTTTAGACATCGCACCAGATACTCGTTTGAGGCTAAGTCAAGATAGGGAAGGCCCAAGACTAGTTCAGATAGTTGTCACTGGTGTTGGTCGTGAGTGGGAATCGAACTCGGGTTACTGGATTCATAGTGCAGCATCAGAATCTGAATCTTTATTTATACTGGTTGAATACGATGAGCCATAAAACTCGTTTCCACAGATATCCAGCTTGATTCCCGCTACACCACCTTTCCTAAATAAGCCACAGAACATCATTCATTATACAGTTTTTTTTATACCAGAATAATAATTTAAATATACATTATATACTATAAAAATGTATATATATAAAAACGTACCGCTGATGAAGTGTTGTCACTTATAATTATAGGACTAGTCTCAGTGCCAAATGATACATATATGAACAGCGAGTATGTCACGTGCAAGTCTGTTGAATACAATGTGCAACACGAAAGACATTTGTCATTTTCGGATAAGAGGAGCAACACATTTTACTATATAAAGATCAAAATTGCCTGGGTAATACACGAAGGAACATTTCTTGATACGTATACTTTTGGTGCTAAACAACTGGGTAACGATGCTGTGCTTTAAACGTTTGCTCTCATAACATGCAAACAGATAAAACGTGAAATGTACTTATTTTATTAAAATAAATGTTTAAGAATTTGTTTCGTGGTAATAGTTTAATACATGTAATTACCTGTGTTGATGTATGAACTGACAATGTCAAGACCATACTGGCATTTGTCACCCGTGTAGCCAGGCAAGCAAGCGCATGTGGCAGTGCAATTCACATTATTCAAGCAAGTTCCTCCATTACTGCAGTACTCAGTTGTGCATGTGGTCTGCGCGCAACTTGTTGCCACACACTGCTTGCCATTATCTGTTTAATAGAACAAAATATACATTCTATCTCGTTATATTGTTTGAATGTTCACTGGTTTGAAAGCCACATTTTTGACTGCCAAAATCATACTTTTACATCAGAGCGAAACCTGTCGCTGCTATACATTTCTGCACTATGTTCTACATTGGTGAATTGATGACGGAATATGAACACATTTTATATTTATCTATTTTCCACAGCCCAAATAACAGCAAGATTATATATATATAACCACACAAACTATTGGTACAGCTGGCAATGCAAAATCAAGAGGAGAGGAATTTTAATAAAATTAGGTTAAAAACATTGTTAATTAAAACTTAAAGGCTTCGCCTGCCCTCACGTGCCACGCTATGAGTGGAATAGCCTGGCAAGTGCTAGTTAGAGCACACATCTATAGGTCTCCCAAAATTGCTACGGTAATCACCCTGGCATACCCACGTGTTCCACCTAATCGTCCAATAAGCACAATGCATCCGTGGTAGAGTAAGTGCTGTGGTTTAGGGAGACCAAGCAAGCTATTAAAACGCAACAAAACTGGCATTCTAGATTTGAAGTATTCGTGACTGCAAGGATCCATACTCTTTGGTTCTTTCGGTAGAGTCACGTAGGTGAAAAAAATAAAAATAGAAAATAAATCACGACTTGCTTCCGAAACGTCGTGATTTATTTTTTATTCTTATTTTTTCACCTACGTAACTTTACCGAAAAAACTGGCATTGGTGCAAAAATAATATGATACTTCAAGCTCCATTTAAAGTGGCAGAGGAAGATATCGTTTTACTTTTTTACCAATTATATTCTAACTGTGCTCTCAGTGTTATGTCATGAGACCTATTTGGAACACTGAAGCTAGCAGTCCATCTTCCTGTGTCAGAGAACGACCTCCATGTTAAGTTGTACATTTTCTAAATCCAGCCTACTCACATGTTTTTTTGTCGGCATCTAAGTCGTTCATTACTTGGATAGCAATGTATGAACTTCACGAACAATAAAAATACACGTAACAGAAGACAATTGGGTCTGTAATTCTTCAAATCAATTTTGTCATACAGCAATTATACCACGAGTAACATATTGGTTACCCGGTTGTAATATATCTGTTTACCTCTCCAATTGCAAGACCACCTAATGTATTAGGGCTGTTAGATTACGATTTTAACTATACTCACCAGGTGTGGCCAGTGGAGGTGAATGCCACCTGATGATGTGTTGTATGGGAAAACAGTTTAACTCTCAACTTTACCATGATGTTAATGACCACTGCTTTATAACCTTAATGATGGAGTTCTTATAACTCAGATAATGCATATTTAAATACAATTATACAGTTAAGAACTCCATTTTCAGCAAATATTTATGTAATTTTTAGAGCGAAATGGATAGCTTTCTACTCGTTTTCATTTCTATGTTAAATATATACTGTTTCATTAGACCTCCTTTGCCAGTACCAAAATGTAATATTGTTTTTCCCCTTTTTTTCTGGCAGCAAGACTGAAACCTTTTGTACAAGGATTCATGTCTGCCAAAAGGCGTCATCTGGTCGAGCACCAATTGGGTCGAGGCTCAAAAGAAAACCGTCCCTTGGTGTGGACCAATCAGTTTCAAGGACAATGCATATATTATCATACTATGTTTTTTGTTTGCATTTTGACTGCAGGTATTGTGGTTGATGCAGACATGAATCCTTGTAAAAAAAGGTTTCAGTTTTGTTGCCAGAAAAAAAAGGGGAAAAATCCTATTATTATATATACTGTTGTCAATCCTGTGCACATATATAAAACGTAAATATAACTAAAGCAAAATGATTAACACACATCTATTTGAGTTTCTATTATATATTCGTTAGTCTCTTTTAGGCGCGCACATATTTTAATTACGATGATGTAGACTTGTTGTACAGGGTGCTTTAAAAAAATGTTAACACTTTGGAGACTTTGCAACAATACCACAAGAAATGTGCTGCTGCCTCCGGGCTCTGGAGAACACCTGGAGGAGATTCCAGGCCACGTGTTGACAATGATGGCGAACAAGTGAAGACTCTTTGACTTTTTGAAGCTATTAACATTACATTTGTTATCATGTCACAGTGTATTATTCGTTCTTTCCCATTAAAAACGATAGTCCCATATAAGTGATCATATTTTTTAAGCACCCTGTATATGAATAAATGTGGACGCTTTCATATGTTTTGCTTCGTGTGAGTGTCCGTGGAATGGACATGAATGAACTTACTCCAGTAGTTGCTTGGGCAAAGACATGTGTATGAGCCAGGATTGTTTGTGCATTTGGCGAGCGGAGGGCACTTGGTCGTATCGCACTCATTGATGTCAACACAAGTTGATCCAGTTTGCTGGTATCCCTGATTGCACTGGCAATTGTATGATCCAGCGGTATTGATGCAGGTCTGCTGCACAGTACAATTATGCTTGCCCATGGAACATTCATTCTCGTCCTCACAAGAAGTTCCATTGCCTGTAAAGTTAAGCAGGTATATTACACACTGCGCACATGTACACTTTTAAGAAAAAATCATCTGGGCCAGCGACATGGCCCAAAGGTAGCGGTTTATTTCCCGCACGCCACCCTGGTTAATACTGCAGGTGCAGTAACAGTACACTAAACACTGTCCACTTCAGAGTGGACAATAATATATCCTGTAATGTAATTCTAAAGGAAAAGTCCCTGGTGTATTGGCATCGTGGTCCAAATAAAAAAAAAGTATCTGCAAATTGATTAAATTGTAATTATGAATAGCAAAATAGCCGCTTACTGTGAAACTACTGCAGTCTGTTTCTGTAAAACAGAGCGCCTACGTGATTCACTTGTGTTATAAGAATGTCGCAACTACTAAATGTGCTCAATTATTGTCTCGTAAAATACTGAAAAAAGGCTGAGGCTGGGTATGATAGACAACATCTTTTCTTTTAGGAACTAGCTCCTAAATGGGAAGAACCATAATAGCGGGTATGTATGGAATGCCACGAGATCTATGCAATTTACTTTTATAACCAGGGTAGCAGCAGAGGTAGTAGCCCACAGTGTTCTCACACACAGCGTTTCCAGTGCAGTTGTTTGTGGTTTTGCACTCATCTATGTCCACACATTCTGTTCCGTTCACTAAAACAAAAAGACAAAAATAAATAAACATAAACATTGGTTCGCAAGTGCCATTCAGAATATATTTGGGGAACAATGGACCAGCAATGTGCCGCACAAATCTCTAATGCTATTCGACATCAATGCAAAAGCTAAAGTGGACATTATTCTTACAATCTATATACAGAATTATTAAGTGCTGAACATAATTGTAATCATGAGGAAAGAAAGCGAATATACCGTAAAATTACACTATCCCGTAGAGTTTATTTCATTTTAAATGTATAAGAGATACGATTAATTAAACCTCTAAAGCATTCTGGTCGTTTGTGAAGCTTTGATTCAACTGGCTACATTGTTACTCATCCAGTACGCACATTGATATCCTCCATAATATAGGTTTTTTTTGGGTTAGATCGCGGAAATATAAATGTCGTTAAACCTGCCACTGCCCGACACAGCCAATTATTAAGGTTTGTCACGTAAACAGAACATGCCAATTCCTTACTCGTACAGCACACCGGTGTGTTGGAGAGCAAATCCACAACATGGCATGTTCTATTTACGTGACAAACCGTACTAATTGGCTGTGTTGGGTGGTGGTGGGTTTTACGACACATGCATATTTACGCGATCCAACCCAAAAAAATTCCTATATTATGGATATTGGTCGCGAAAGCATACGTGTTAAACATTGATATCCACTGCTAAAAGGACAGTCGTAAGAGCCTTTGCTGAAAATGTACCTGCAGCTGTTGTTTCCAACCTGACACTCGGCGATGTTTCGCTGCGCATGCTGGGAGCTTCTTCCGTTCCCAAAGAAGCTCCCGGCGCACGGAGCGAAACGTCGGGACACCAACGCCGAACAAAACACGCGGTGCAACCACAAAAACGCGCACGCGTTGGAGGATAGGCAGGAGCCACTAGGCACACAACCCCCACTCACTTTGGAATCCATTATCGCATGCGCATTTGAAGGACCCTTGGGTGTTCTGACACGACGAATAAGTCTTGCAGTTGGCGTTTCCATTCTGACACTCGTTGATATCCTGGCAGGTGCGACCGTCGCTGCCGACCATGTACCCAGCCACGCAGCCACACACAAAGCTGCCCACTGTGTCGTTGCACGTCCCATGTGTGGGGTCGCAAAGTGAGGATGAGCTGCACTCGTTCTTGTTGATGCACTCCGTTCTGCTCGTGCCGTTCAGGATGTAGCTGAAACGTCAATCAATGCACTATGATGAAATCTCTGCACCAACTGATAGGACCACAATCGCAATGCAGTGTATTTGCACCCATGATTTGAGTATCCAGGTAACAAGAGTGTTTATATTTTTTTACATTACATCTCCTTTGCGAAGGACCTCTCACCTTAAAAAAAAAAATCTGACTACCTTCATGCTAAGCTTTAAGAAAATACCAACGTGAATAGTAGATGCATGACTAAGACAACAGGAATGTAAAAATGCAAAATAAATGTTCCACAACTTATGTATTTTTTCCCAACTGGAGTAGACTGTTCAGATGTTATTCAATGTTTCATGAGTGTGAATTATACCTAAACATGACAAAAGACCTGATCAGATAATATGAAGATGTGATATTGAGTTTTCAAACACAATTTTATATACACATCCTCAACATTCTAAATATATATAAAAACAAAAAGCTAGCATGTTTATATTATTCCTGTACCAATAATTGGCAGCTGTACAAGCAGAGGTGACAACTCAGCTAAAACGCTGTGCAGAGATTAAACTGCTTCATCCAATCATATATTAATAATCGATTGCATTTCTATGCATTGGATTAGAGCATCGTGCACAGATGCAGGAACGTAGAAGCACAGTGCAGCAATAGAGAGGGCGGCATGCCTTCTGCTGCCTGCAACATAGTCATCCATCCAAGTACAATCCAGGATTATTCCAGACGTAGCTTCTGAGCTTCGGTGCAATCCAGGTGATTTTGTCATATGCAGTACTTTCCACTGATATTTTTAAATACACTAAACTAATTAAACTAAACTTTTTATTTTACCAGGTAAGACCCACTGAGCAATATAGCTGTTTTTCAGAAGCGACCTGGTCACAAATGATAGCTCATTGAAGTGACTTATCACGTGGATATTTATAGCAGCAAAATACTGTAAACGCGTGATGTTGATTCTAAATGTGGAGGGAAAAACAGGACCCGCAGAAAAATCCACGCGACCACAGGAAGAACTAGCAAATTCCAAATAGACAGCAGGCATCAGGGTCGGGATCGAACCCACGACCTCTTTGTATAGCAGGCGAGGGAGTTAACATCTCGCCACCGCGGCGCCAAATAGGAAAACCCTTGGCTACCATACAATGGAGAAACCTACCCGTTGTCGCATTGACAGGCTGATGCATTTAAGTTGTCGATGTAACAGGTTCCATTTCCGCTACAGATGTTCATCTGACATGGAGTATCCGCTGGAAGGAAAATATTACACATGTTTAATATAAAATGAATTATTACAATAAAGTTTGTATTCAGACAAAGTTGTTATGTTCATAGATGATATGTTCAGACAGAGAATAGTTTTTCTTACACTTCATTAGGAAATTTAAAAAAGTGTGTACTTACGATTACACACGCCATTCACGCTGTGAAATCCACTGTAACAGCTACACTGAAAACCCCCTGGGGTGTTGATACAGTTTTGGCTGCAGTTGGAAATCAACTTCATGCATTCGTCAACATCTGTGAAAATACACATTCAAGTAAACATTGTAAAGAATGTATTTACTTCTTCTGCGCTGAGCTGGGATCCTCTTCTGCATTTTCAAAAGTCAGACATATATATACAAATTGAAATGTATTCATGGAAACACTCTTATTATTATAAATTGGTGCTTGCTCCCATCCACGTCTCAAAATTGAAACCTGATGTTTGCAATATGAACATAATTAATTGAATGTGTAGTATATTTCTCTCTCTCTCATGTTCATGATATTTACTAAAGAACTTTGCATTATATACGCACAATTGCATTCTATTGTTCAATTTTCTAATTTACTTAATTCCTTGTCTACCCTGCCTTCTTGTACCTATAATTTTTACATTCAAACCATTATATTCATTCTTTTGTTTTCTCATTAAATTTGCAAAAAATCGAACTTTCCTTTCTCTAATTATACTTGACATTTTCTACTTGTACCTGCTATCATATTTAGAAAGTCACATAAATCACCAATCTGTGAATCTAATAAATATGCAAGATTGTTTATCTCTTTTTCAGCCTTCAAGTCAATACCAGAAATTACTGATCTCTCTCAGAACAGTCACCGTTAACTTTACAAAAAAGCGCTACCCATTTTATCATTCCGGAGATGAGCATATGAAGGCATAAGATGCCAATTGTAAATATCACATCACAATTATGAGTGTGGTGCTCTGTCACAGGCAGCAACACTTGGGATGGAAACACCATCACCCCACAAATGAGACACACCATTAAAAAAAAGATATATACATTTACTAAATTTCATACTTTATTAAATCAGCATTTTATGTTGTGTCCCTCCGCGTATCATAACACAACATGTGATACCTTGGCACTGGGAGCTGTCTGCAGAGGTATTGATGTAGCCACTGTTGCAGCTGCATGTATAGTTGCCGAGCACATTTGTACATGTTTGATTGCAGACAGGTGGCACGGTCAAACACTCATCCACGTCTGGAAATACAACACATGAGAGCAGATCAACGGGCTATTCAGCAGCTTAGTGCTCTCGTGTTTAAAATCAAGATCAAGTAAACATTATCCAAATAGTTATTATGAATTGATGTTATGTCGTGAGCTCATTTTCGTGGACTATATAATTCAATCTGGGTGTAATTCAATCTGGGTCTGTCCAGGTTGGTGACCTGGAAAATATTCAAAACAAAGGAATTCTAAGCTCAGCAGTCACCTTTGCTCAAGGGATAAATAATACAAGCTTTCGTGACTGCAGGAATTCATATTCTTTTGGTCTTTCGGTAAAGTCACGTAGATAGGTTCAAAGAAAATAACAAAAAACTACTTGATCCTATCTACGTTACTTTACCGAAAGACCCAAAGAATAATAATTATAACAATCGTTATGAATGTTCATATTAATTAAAATTGTTAGTATGATCCATAATAATTATAATTGATATTATTATTTACCCAGGAAGCCACACACAGTCCAACGACTCTTTTTAGCAGAGATCTGCATTTTAAATTGGTGTTAAAAAATATATTCAGATATTTTCAGTCAATTAACGCATTTTTTATGCACGTAGGAGGAAACCGGAGCGCTCGGAGAAAACCCGCGCATGCGAGGAGGCAACACTATCTCCCAACAGATGAGGCAGATGATATTGGTCCACACTTGCTCTACCACCTCCTGGTGAGTCAGGGCATAGCACCTCGACGTGCACCCCAAAGGGAAGGGAGTTTAGCAACATTTGTGTGATCCGCCAAACTTCCCTTCTCCATGGTGGATTGCAGGTGTGTGACACCACCAATAAGACATAGCTTTAAAAAATAATTATCTAAGTCAACACCATACCATGCAATACAATGGGAATTTATAACGCATATAAATGCAACTGGACCTCCAGATGCCAATACACTAATTATGGGTATTATCGGGCGTTCAGTAATTGTATAAAAACGAAAGGGACAGATATTCAATAGTATGGGTGAATATAGGAAGGAAATTCAAGACTATGGGGACAAGCAGAGGAGAATGAACGACCTTCCCACTGATAGAAGTTTGACCAGAGGCATCACATCTAAACATTGGTGGCTGGTAAATAAGAGTGTGTGGCGGGGAGTGGAGTAAAATGAGAGGTCAGAGGCAGACGGGGGCGAGTCCAAGAAGGAACTTGAAGAGGTTGAGTGAGATTTTGAAAGTAATCCCGTGATTGGACTGAGAGCCATTGCAAGGAATTAAGCGTTGTGGGCATGTGGTCCCTTTAATGGGTGTGGTCGAGAAGTCTGCTAATGGGATTTAGGGGGGGCCATGGAGGAGAACGTTGCAGTGGTTGAGTCGAGGCGTAATTAAGTAGTGGAGCAGGGGGGGGGTCTCAGCTGCAGCTGCGGGAAAGGAATTGGTGGATTCGGCAGTCGTTGCACAGGTGGAGGCATGCGGCTCTGCAGCGCTAAGATGCACGGGAAGAAGAACGAGAAGTCGGGATCAGCGACAGCTCTGCTTTGAACAAGACCCCCCAGCTGCAGGTAGTGAACAAATGTTCGCACCATAACACTTGGATCCATTTCCCGTGAGTCCTCTAGGGCAAGGTCCACAGTTAAAATCCATGGAGGGCGGAAGCTGGTCTAAGCATGTTACACCAGGATGACATGGGTTGTCTGCACAAGCATCGAAGTTGTCCGTGCATTGCATCCCTGTGTACCCCGGGTTACACCTGCAGCCAGCAACCTTCATACACACATTTCACAAAAATATGGATTAATTGTCAAATGCAGGATTCCTCCCTCAGATTATCTCTGTCTCTTGCAAGCATAATGAATCTTTGAGTATGAGGACTTTCAATGTAAAAATAAGCTCATTATGAGTGCATGCACATTAGGGTGCAATGATGCATCAGTGTAACAGTTTGTCGATTCAGTGATCAAAATCGACTATCACACTAACAGTACATGCACAGAACCATGCGGGTGGGTATCTATTAATTATTTTCCATTTGTAAACTTTGTATGTAATTAGGTGATCCCTGTGGTCACTGTAGGTGCTAGCTATAATACAGCACAATGTTCTACAATATAATAACAATATCAAATCAAATAGAAATCCAAAATCATAACAACATGATGAACTGCCTAGCTGACCTGGAAAGTGGATCCGTCACTGCCGTTGAGGCTCAGGGTCGTCTGGTTGTAGACGCACGTGGAGTTTGCACTGCAGTTGCAGAGAGTGAGGGTGAGCAGCAGCACAGAGGAGGCCTTGCCGTCGCTGGCGCTCACCACGCCAAACACTGGCTCCGAGCTTCTGGGGCTCCACGTCAAATTCCCATCGGCTGCAGCAACCCGCCAACAGCAGCAGTTATCAATGAGCACTAATCAAGGGACTTTGTAGACGGAATTTTATAGCGTTGTATATTTTAATTTCAGTGACATAGCCAATGCACTACACACCTGTCCGGTGGTAGGAAAAAAAGGAAGTGGGGTTTCTTACACCGTGAACTCACCTGAAATGTTGATGTTCGAAGAATTGGTTACAAGTGAGAACTCAATTATGTCATTGTTGACGTCCACCGCGTTGATATTTACCCACACTGTTTCACCAACACTGCCACTAATTTGGCCACTGCTCGTTATATTTGGAGGGAAATTTTCTGCAGGAAAAAAAGTCACAGGCGAAGATTGAGATGCTGCAACACTGTCGTTTGGTGTGATTGTTTATGAAGCTTGAAGCAAGCTATTGCACTTGTCTTTGCCCGTTTTAGTTGTTTTGGCTTTGGTGATAACTATGAATGTATAAGCCAATCGTTTTTCCATGGTGCTAATGATTCACACATACCCCTACGAGGTAAGTAAACATTTTTACATATTTTCGTTCACGTTTGTTTAAATTTATTTCTAAAAATTGTTCATGCCGTTGGCTTTTTCCCACTTGAATTTGTACTTCGTAAATAATTTTTCCCCTTCTGATAATAAAAGGAATTTTGAAAAAGTCTCACAAAAAATACACATGTTAATGTATTTTTGGCCTATTTAATAAAGGCTACTTGTAGCAGTGTCGACTTGAAAATCATATATTAATATAACGCATATATTTATTTATATTTCGATATATATGTATATATTGGCATATGTTTTATGGATATTGGCATAAGCGTTACATTGCCTTCATTGTGCCACAATATTTATCTACAAAAATCCACGAAAATTAAACCCGATACACAGTTCAGATTTTCAAATCTATGTATTCTCGTTTGTTACGTATATTGTCTATATCAGAATCAGAATATGTATTTATACTGGAGGAATCCGATGAACTACACAGCTCTTTTTCACATATGTCCAGTAGGGGGACGGGTAACGTACGTAGCACTTTGCCCAAGGATCTGTAGACTCCAGAGCTGTCCTGTGTGGCCAGTCCAAAGTTGGTGTTCCCCGTACTCAGAACGTCAAATATGCAGTCCTTCTGGCCTCCGCAGGAAACATTAACACTGGCCAGTTGTTCTGGAGATGTCTGATTAATGAGGTCTTCATAAAACACCGGCATGAAGCTGTTGTTGTTAAAAGTGTCCCAGCTTTCCCCAGCACTGGTGTTATAGGTGAACAGACTTTCATTAGCTGCAGTTTTCCCTGTAAAAATATATTTCACAGCAAAAATATCCATTTTTTGTACCATATTTAACGTGTCTAATACCAAAAAACTTTCTTACATTTTTAGGAACAATGTATTGCCATATTTAATTGCTAAACGTTTTAATTTTAGTCATGTAAAAGTTCAAAATATTAAAACACATTATGTGGTGTCCTAGTATTATGACACTCGAGGCTTAACTGTAGTGAAAACATTTTAAACATTTAAATTATAAAAAACAGTAATTACATTTAACAAATAACGATGACTGTACTAGGGCTGAAATTATATAATGACTAAAACTGCAGTTGATGACGTCTATTTAATGTATTAATGCATGCAAAAGCAAAAGTGCGTATGTTAAAACCTTCAAGCAAATGTTTATAGTGATCTTCACACCACTTACATGTAGTTGCAAAATCATACAATTTAGCCTCCGCAGGCACATCTGCTCCATTAAATGACAGCACAGTTCCATTCTTGAATGTGAAATCATCTTTTGGATTATTGTTGAAAACACCTGTAAATATTTGTTTATGTTCGCATAATGAACAAAAACGTTAAACGCATATACAGTAAAATATATATAATATCGATAATATTACCATGTTATCTCCCACTTTCCCCCAATTACAGAATGTCACTGGGGAGGTCACTCTGACCCAACCCAAATAACACCAATAATAAACCTTACAGTAACTGCTCTTCATTTTAGTTTCTGTGCGAAATGTTTTCATAAATTCGATATTGAATGTACGTATGTTGAATTTATTTTGCACTGTACATAGCCAACCGTGATAATCGGAGGTGCGGGGGAAGGACAACAAACTAAACACAACAATGTTGCGAAGGTAGAGGCCAGTTTATCCAAAGATGAACTATTAACTTCTTACAAATTGATACTTGGTTTTTATTGACCCCTTGGCCACTATAAAAACAAAATTGGCACTTATATCACGCATATGCCATAAATATAGGCAAAGTCTCTCCTGAAGAGAAATCCCATCTTTGTGAATCCTGTGCGAGTGGCTTCCTGGGATTCCCATTCTGCAGACAGCTTTGAACATCAGAAGGAGAATATATTGCCCAGTAAAATTCCACAGCCAGTTTGGAATGACGTTACGTGATAAAGTGTACATTTATACTGCGCGGGTTTTTAGAGTTGTGCTGTACAGCTCTGCGATGTATTTTTTGGAATGTGGTGCGTGTTGTTCGGTGATGTCTGAATTTTTCGCTCCACCCACTTCTCGAAAGCAGAGCCTAGAAACTGAAGAAGCTCCCAGCATGGGTATTGAATCGTTGAACAACATGCCGGGCAACACGTGACATGATCGGAAAATGCAACGGAAGAGCTGAACGTTTAAATTTAAATTTGTTTGCGCTTGGCCCAAATTTACTTAATTGTGAACGAGCCGCCAAACTCACCCAGCAGGCCCTGCGTGTTAGCAGATGCAAAGCGCTCGGGCAGTAGCGTGATGAAGTTGAGGGCTCCTGAAGTCCCCGACACGTTCACAGAGATGCCCGAGGAGAACACGGCCGCCACATTCGCTAGGCCCGTCTTAATCACTATGTTTCCATTGCTGTACAAACCTGACGAACCTGAGAAACACAAATTTAAAAACATCCGAGATTAGTTATGTCAGTTCACTACCAGTGTAAATTACTTCACATGTACTGCTGGATTATGGCCTTCCCACGCTGTGCAGGCCAGTGGTGACCCATCCAAGAAGCACTGTCCAGGCTCAAGTCTGTTAGGTTCTGAGATCTGATGAGATTTGGTCCATTGTTGGGTCATTTTGTCATTGACGGTTAATTGCAGAATAGGCTCGATTTCATTCTGAGAACTTACCAATTTTGATTAACAACATATCATACCTAATATAGTTAGAATGTAAAGATAACTTACATTGATTAACCTCATCATTATGCATGTTTAGCGCTGATCCTACACCAAAGTCTACAGCAGAAAATAGTCATCATCCTTCCTTCTCATCCTATCAATCTCATTCCGAATCCAGTACACATCCGATTAACTATTTCAGTTATTCTAGATTTAAAGCTTTCGTGACTGCTAGGATCCATACTCTTTGGTTCTATTGGGTAAAGTCACGTAGGTGACAGCGCTGTCCTCCAGACAGTCTCGTCCCTTCACCTGATGAAGGCCGCTTGTGTTGTGGCCGAAACGTCGTGATTTTTTGTTATTTTATTTTCACCTACGTGACTTTACCCAATAGAACCAAAGAGTATTTCAGTTATTGTTCAACTTCTAATTTACATTCTGTGTAATATGGCACACCCTAAATGGTGCATTAACATTTTGCTAACTTCTTAATTTGTGGATTTGTTTACAGGTGTTTAAAAAATAAACACTTACAGCTACTGCACATCTCAGTCACTATTGTAGTTAAAAATAATATATTTCGTCAGCCAGTTTGTTCGATTTGTTTTTAACTTCTACCTCCCCCCCACGTCCCGCTCCCCACCCACTCACATTATTCCAACAGTGCAATTGTGCTACGAGTTAAGTGATCCATTCAGAACTGTTGTCATGTGTCCCATCACCCCATGGTTAGAGAACAACCAGTGGAAGTTTACACCACAGATCCACACGTGAGATTTTCTTCAGTTACTACTTTTATCCACACGAACTGGAAGGCGCGATACTTTCCCCATGCAGAATGATAGTTGATGCATTTTTTATGCTTTAACTCCCAGAGCTTGAACTTCGATCAGATTAAGTGGAAAGAAAATGTTTATGCGGTGGTGGGATTTTTTTTTGTGTAGTTACTGTTGACCTGGCTGAGTCACCAAAAACATTCTACACTGAACCCTGAGCCACTCAGTTTCACCTAGTTGAAAAAAAATGTCAGTGGTGCTCATGAATAAAAATCGTTTAGGACACAATATATCCTTTGTCTTATAGGGAATATTCAGACATCACTGGCTATGATCATGCATCGAAATGTATTGTCAAAAGAGATGCTAAACTGTAAGTGCATTATATTAAAATTAGTCTTACCGTTTACAGCCACAACTGAACCGTTGACTAATATTACAATGCTGGTGTTCTTCAGGATCCATTCAACCTATCGAACAAATCATATATTTTTTTTAAACGTTTAACAATCTCACGGGACTATAGGGTAAGAAAAGCATTGCAAAAAATACAGATTTCTCAAACATATCCCTCTGAAAATTTAATTTTAGGAAAATTACACTTTTATAATTAATTTTGCACATTATTCAATCAAAGTATTTCAGTTGCTTAATTTACCAAACGATATTTATTTGTAAGGTTATATTTTTACATCTGCTGTATGTGGGCACAATTTTAACATAGAATCCAGACCATAATGTGAGCCCACATAATTCGCTTTACACACATCCTAACATATTTAAAATGCTATAGTAAAACAAATCTACCAATGTCAAACAATTTATGTTATGTTGTATTTATGCAACCCAGATAATGTACATAAATTATCTACCTAATGTAAATACAGCAATATAAGTTGTCGGTTTAATTTAAATTCTCAATAATGATTCTGAAAATGTTCCCATGACTAAATATTTCTTTAACATCGTAGATTCGTGGCCAATTAAGAGTTAAGAAAATTATTCAAACTCTTCAGTTCTTTCGGTAAAGTCACGTAGGTAGAGAAAATATTAAATACAAAATAATAAATCACAACGTTTCGACCGCAACACAAGCAGTCGTCATCAGGAAATATAGTGAGAAATCTGCCGCAGCAAGAGGTTATATAGGTTTGAGCTGTGTGCAACCCAAGGATAAGTGGGTGGGGCTAGAGATGGAATTGCAAGTAAATGTAGAAGATTAGCATAACTAACCTGGTTAGTGTGTGCTGTGATGTTTCCATCCTGCCTGTCGTTTGGCTGTTACCCTCCGACTCTCTGAGTTGTATTGCCCTGTTGGATGCCTTTGCATTAACGGGCGAGGGTATCACTAACATGGCCGCCTTTTGCTCCCTTAGCCTAGATGTATCGATGGCTCTTGCTGTTTCATGGGCTGTATGTCTCACTGGCTCGGCGACCATAACCCTTAACACGTTTTCCTCTCACAGTGCAGCTGCCAACGCCGCAGATCCTGTGGCCCTCGAGGTGCTTTTGTGCCCGGTTCTCTGATATTGACATGCTAATCTTCTACATTTACTTGCAAATCCATCTCTAGCCCCGCCCACTTACCCTTGGGTTGCACACAGCTCAAACCTATATATCCTCTTGCTGCGGCAGATCTCTCACTATATTTCCTGATGACGACTGCTTGTGTTGTGGTCGAAACGTCGTGATTCATTATTTTAATTGAATATTTTCTCTACCTACGTGACTTTACCGAAAGAACCAAAGAGTATGGATTCCTGCAGTCGTGAAAGCTTCAAATCTAAATTATTCAAAACATCACATTGACATGTGATGTTTAACTTGCAATGTTAATTAATTACCGTCAGCTATGATCAATCCACTGCTGGATGAAAGCCTCCCAAAAATCAAAATTTAACCTCCCAAAACCATTGGCGATCAGGGGCTTAATTCCTCACTACATATTTCCGTAACACTTTAAGGCTGGTGTGCAGTCGGGATTATCATCATGGGGCACGACCAGTACAAGGTACTCCTGTCCGTAATAATCCTAGACACACCACTGGATGTGGCATGCCGAGTTAAATCCCGAAACAGCAATCTACGGTCCCGGCTGAATTTAAGCACTGCTCACGGAACTGTGACATAACAAAATAAAATACCGATAGCAACTTGGCTTCCATATGATCATATCCTTCGCACAGTGCGTGTTCCGTGCAGTCAAATCCCTACATTAATCTGCCATCCATTTACACCCGAGACCGTTTAACAATCACCTGGTACGTACCTTGTAATCACCGATCTGCTGTGCTACGATGGCTATGAATGAAGTGGCTTTAGTGGTCACATTGGCACTCGCATTGGCGCTTGCAATTCCAGTTCGACCCTGCATGGTGAAGCTCGTGACATTGTTTGTAAACACTTCCAGGATCGTGTACTCTCCAAGGCCGTTAAACGTGTAAGAGACGTTGTCCAGTGTAGTGATGTGAGGGTCGCCAATGAGAATTGCTGAAAGAAATCAAAAGAAAATGTTTAATATCTATGGGACCTTTTTGCCAGTATCGAAATAATGAAAACTAAGAATAGTATTCTTTGGGTCTTTCGGTAAAGTCACGTAGATAGGTTCAAAGAAAATAACAAAAAACTACGACCTTTCGATCACAACGCAAGCGGTCATCATCAGGACCGCTTCTTCATGAATTCCATATAAAAGTCAAGAGTAACAATGAAGATCAAATCGATAAGTCCTACATACTGATATCTGTTGACAATATAGGCGACAGTAAACACAAATTCAGAGAAGAATCACCGTAGAAAGGTGGTCTGTAGTATGAACAACGGTCAGAGGGACGCCTCTGCTGGTACATATTGCACAATGCCTTGTCTCCAGATCTGCAGCAAGCGTTGTACGGGTCCACTTCATTTGCTGAAAACATATAAAAAGTAATGTAAAGAATGAATGACTATGGCAACAAGTCCACAACAAGTCCACAACAAGTCCACAACAAATCCACAACAAGTCCACAAGTCATTGGTGCATATGCGTTCAAGTTCTATACTCATGCTGAATTGTAACTTTTGCGAAAACAAACATACTGCGCATACGTAACATTAATGAACAATTCCGCATCTGTAAAAGGTATATTTTACTCAATTTAAATATATTATAATTTACATAAAAGAAGGCTATGCTGCCATGGTTTAATGGTTGGCAATCCAGACGTCGCCGGTTCAAATACATCTTTCGACATATCAGTTGATACATTTCCTCCAACCTCGGTTCACCTAACAGTATTACTATTTACTGTTATTTAGCTTGTTTACCCAGGAGAGTCTCACTGAGTCTCTTTTTCAGGAGGGTCCTGCCAAGTTTTCACTGGAGGGGGCAATGATTGCTATGTACATCCAAGCGAGTTATCTCTTCAAATTTGGCATATATTGACCATGAAGCCGGCATACAATGGCCTACTTCTGCAGATGACGTCACGGGGTCTTTAAAGTCCACTGAATGAGTCAGTGCATAGTATTTTCATAGTTAATCCACCTGCAGTAATAATCAGAGCAGCCGCTAGATTCAAACCGCAAACCTCTAAAACAAGATGGTGCATGTGCTATTACTGAGCCACGTTACTGCCTTGTAAATGAGTACACCACTAAAATATTTTTTCTATTTTACCAGGTAAGGTGCACTGAGCTATATAGCTATTTTTCAGAAGTGACCTGGCCACAAATGATAGCGCAACGAAGTGGCTTATCACATGGAAATGTATAGCAGCCATATACTCTAAACGCATATTTCTAAATGTCGAGGGAAAAACCGAAAGACCAGAGAAAATCCACGCGACCATGGGGAAATAACATGCAAATTCCAAATATACAGGCGTCGGAGTCGGGATCAAACCCACGACCTTCTGTATACCAGGCGACGTAGCTAACCTCTCAGGTCATGTGTGGTGGGATAACGTGTGGGTAATCCCACCTCTTCCAAAACCAGCATGGAAGAATAGGCCAATTACCCTCTCAGAGGGACTCTCCAGAACTCCCTCTTGTGGGAGGCCCTTCTGCCAGCAGTGGCGTGAGCAAGCGAATTGCCCCGGCTGCACCTTTGACCTCTTGAGTTGGCCAGGTTAAACTATTTAAACTTAGGGGCTTACTCAGGTACTGCTGATTCGTTACTCTTGACGGATTCGTCCAGGGGGTGGGGAGGTAGCGCTCATACCACCCGGACACCAGGGCGCCCCACCGGTTGTAGTGGCATCTCACCCCTCCACCACTGGCATCTGTCCAGAAGTTTTGAAGACTCCAAAATGCACCTGGGAAAAAAAAACTAAATGATCAACTTTGGTCTTAGCACAAGAGGGAAAAGGAAAAAAAAACATTTACGGATGACACACAATGTGCCTTAAACACATATACAATGGAGAGCGGGGTTTTATTTTGCCCCAAGAAGGAACGATAGCACGTGTTGAAGGAGTAAAGGAGAAAGGCAAATAGTTATCAGAATTTTATATACATAAATAAAAGCCTTTAAATATGAACGCAATTTGTAGTTCTCATATTTTGTCCTGCTAAATGTATTCAATAAAACACACAGTGGTTGCATTTTGGGGGACATTTTGTGAGCGGGAATAAATATGTAAATTTGTCTTCCAGCATGACGTGAGCGATAGTTACATTGCTTTACAATACAATGTTACATCACAACACATGATCGCAGTGATGGAAACTGGCCAGTATACGGCGATATGCCACACCGACACTTCTCAGAACAAAACAGGGGTGCACACCAGGCACTGTTTCGAACTTTTTTTTTTAAACCTAAAGCAAACACTCACTCGTCTTCTTTCTTTTTGAGAGCTCACAACTGATGACATGGGCTACAGGAGGAATATGTTTTCATACCAGGATTTTCCATATTCCATTTCGACCAATGCAATGCAAGTAAATATTCGATAAACATTTACCTGGGACATATGGAAGCTGGTAGCCGTAAGTAGTGATGAGGTTTCCATCCACGTAGGACATGTCAAACATTCCTTGCCAAAAGGAACAGGGACAGCTCTTGATGGGGTTGATGGACGGATGAGCTGTATCGTTCGAATACCAATTCAGACACTGACGCTTTGTATTTTTTCTATTTGGCACGTTGTCTGTCAGCATGTAGGCGAATCTTCCATTTAGGCCTGAACAAAACAAAATCATTACTCTGTTAGCATTGTGTGAATGTGATATTGTTTAACTCTTCATTTCCATAAAAGGGTTAAAAAGATATACGGTATTAAGATATCATCATCATTATTATACAAAATAACGACCATATGTGTACAAATGTTTTATTTAGAAGTCGTATTCTCTGCATCAAACCTGAAGCGTCGTGAGAGCCGGTGGGGCAGGAGGGATTTAGAGGCGGCTGAGCTCCTCTGCTGAAGGTTCAGCCCACCCACCTCTCCACCCACCCACCTACACACCCCCACCACCCACCTGCCTCCCACCTACCCCCCCACTCAGCCCCCTCACCCACTTACCCCCCCACCCACCTACCTACCCACCCTCCATCCACCTCCCCCCACCCAGGCCCCCCACCAACCTACTCCCCACCCACCCACCTACCCCCCTACTCAGCTCCCTCACCAACCCACTTACCCCCCCACCTACTCACCCCCCACCCACCTACCTACCCACCTACCCCCCTTCCACCTACACCCCCACTTACCTACCCTCCCCGCCCACCTACCGACCCTCCCACCAAATTATTATGCTCCCTACAATGATTAAAGTGTGAACATGTTAGGTTTAAAAGTGAGCCAAGTGGGAAAATTAATTCATCACCATGGATTCCGTAATGCTTTCCGCATGAACGTTTGCTCTCGGAAGTATGTTTTTGTAAGCATTGCTACGGTGTAGGGATCAGACACGTGGACGTGTACAAATGAAAACTATATTAAAAACTGAAAAGTTTACAAAGGAAGTGTGTAGAGGTGGTGGTGCATGCTCGGAATTGCATAGAGAGACGTAGAAGAGCACTTGGATTCGAAAACATATACAAGTTGAAGGCGATCAAATTTTACTCCAGTGTCCATACAAGTGATTTGCCTGAAGGGTAATAAAAATAAAAGTGGCAGCCAGGGGGAGGGAATGTTCCCGAGAGGACGTCCACCGGCGAGATGGAGCGATGAATGCAGTTGGCTTGCTAGGCGCTGAGGTGGGTTGCTATATCAGTGGGCAACAGCTTTGTGAGGACATCCAGTAGTAGGCTGATAATAAACAATATGTAGACATATATACACCACATTATGCATGATTACCAGTATGCAATCCTTTGACCTGGTCGGGACGGTACTTGGTTGTTGCATTCAATGACACTGGGTCGATGTATGCGGCAGATGTTCCACTTGACAAAGATGATAAAAACGTGGCATTTTAGAATCAAATACAAGCACATTCTATTTCCACAAGTGGAAAACCAAAGTAGATGGTAAATCTTCTTTGGTTCTTTCGGTAAAGTCACGTAGAATGAGAATAAAATAATAAATTGATAAAATAAAATAACACAATAATATTCTCACGACGTTTCGGCCACAACACAAGGCCGCTTGTGTTGTGGCCGAAACGTCGTGAGAATATTATTGTGTTATTTTATTTTATCAATTTATTATTTTATTCTCATTCTACGTGACTTTACCGAAAGAACCAAAGAAGATGAATCATTGCAGTCACGAAAGCTTTAAATCGAAATTTAAATGGTAAATGTTATAGTGTGTAGCCTTATTGCGCTTTAAATACTCCTAGGATAAAACTTAAATGCTGTACTGCATTGGCTACCGCTAGGCCACTCCATGGCTGTTGTGTTCCACTTCACAGAAATTAGTGAAGTAAGTTAAACCATTGTTTATTAAGAACACCTCTGCTACCCCGGGGATTAAATGTGACTAATGATGGTGACGACGCTGCCTTGCCGACTTTAGAGAATGTTTTTTTTATGTATTTACTTTAGAGCAGTGGTTCTTAACCTGGAGTGCACACATGCCTGCTGGGGGTGCGAGGTGCCCCTTCTGGGGGTGCGAGACATGGCCAGATTTTTTTAGAAAGTAAATAATCGAAACACAAATTAAGCACGGGCATGTAAGTGCAACTATTTTGTTTCATCAAACCCCCCGTGTATTTACTCACTATCATTTTGTTTACGCTTGATAATAAAAGGGATGTAAGGCTGTAGTAAAGGTTGAGAAGCACTGCTTTAGAATGTTTGACGAATAAAATTTTAGGTTGTGCTCGAATTGATATGCTTCTTTTCGATAAAATCTTAGCGGAATGTTTAATCAAAGGAGGCCCGAAGTTGACTTCGATCACCCACCTGTTGAATCCTATCAAAGCGTTGTTTGCCAGCTTGTCCCTAGCCTCCGTCCTCCATTGCATGCCCCCATCCTTAAACATGATCAGGCAGAATGAGTAGACGCCATCGGTGCTAATCACAGCCTGGAATGTGTTTGTCTGAAACAAAAAAGAAAGACACACACCCAGTGGTTAAAGCAAAGAAGCGTAAATACGCATCATCATCACCACCATCACACTAAATGTTACCATCAATATGAGAAGCAGTCCACAACTAGTTGCGCTTTAGGTAGGGCTCTTTAGTAAGTCAGCCGCACAATGACGCTCACTCAAAGGAAGCTCTATCTGAAAGGCGATCAGAGTTCTCTTCATGCCCCATTTTATACTTTTTACTGCTCTTTTCGAGAAATTCTAAACAGGGCCCCCCTCCTTCAAATCAATTCCAAATAAGTAACCCCCAACGGATCTCTAACCGACTCTGTTTTACCGGTTCAATTTCCTTGCGTTTTACCCAGTCCAACTTTTTCCCGGGTTTTCACCAGTTCAACTCCATCGATAAATGGAACACAAACGTCTCACACCAATCGAGCAATGAGTGGCAGGGCAGTCAATCGTAGGGAGCCGGCTCACGTGCAGCGTATCAAGGGCCCCTGCTCTGTGACGGCTGGTCAAACGCAAAGAGGGAACGGTCCTTGCCATTCAAAAAGAGTAAGTCGTTTCTCGTACGTGCACTGTAATGTAAGTGCAATTCTTTAAGGTACGCCCGAGATTACCTTTACAAAGAGGGCTATTTGATGCCAATAGTGAGCGCTTGGCCTAGATGATGCCAATGGTGAGCATTAGGGCTATATGACGGCAATAGTGAGCGTTCGGACTTGACGGCCAGGGGTGGGTTAATCTAAATGTGCATTTACATCTGATGAATGCTATAAATCACATCCTTACGTATTTCAAGTTGCTGTTGGCTGGCACGGCTGGGGCGTTTTCCCACGTGATCTTCAGCATCCATACGGGCGTGTAGGTCTGCACTTCCGTTTGCGTGAAGTTGGCTCTGATCTGCGCCTGCACTATCTGCCGAAGTTCCAATGCGTGCGAAGTTTGGACTTTGCCGCCTGTAAAATCATACTCCTGCATTCAACAAAAAGAGCGGGGTTGAGTTAACTTGTATGACTGTATTAGACTTTGAATTATATATTTTTTTTCCAATAGAGATAATCCAGCCAGGTGGGCCAGCTCTCAATCGAAAGGTTACAAGTTCAAATCCTGGTTGGTGCGTTGACTCCGCCCACCAAAGCCTCTGGAGCCAACAAAATGAGTTACCACTTTGTGGCGAAGTCAGCAGCAATTATCCTTTGGATAGACTCGCACTACCATAGAAATGTGGAACTTTCCTCCACCGGCTCAGGGCCGTAAACGGGAGATGAGCACTGCCTCAATGCTCATCTGCGCAGGGAATAACTGTAACTTTTTTTTTACTACAATAAAAAGGAAATTACTCATTGTCTCAAAGAACAAAAACATTTTTCCCTGCATTAATGTGTGCTTAGAAATATAAAAGCAATATATCGTTAGATCGATACTGCAGATAAAATTCCCATGATGATGCTGCATGATAACCTATGTATGCAACTGCTAGAAACAAGGGACACGATCAAAAAAACACATCACACGACCAATGCAATCTGTATTGAAAATGTGTAATTCGTGAATTAAGCGGAGTGCAGTCGTCATGGCAAACCTGATAATAGATCTTGCCGACATTCGACGAGAAGTCAGAATCATCCCAGAAGACAGCAATCATTGCGACTGAGAATGAACTTGGAAATCCACCGGAGAAGGGGTTTGGATAGGGAAACTTATTCGTCTCTTCACTTTGCTGGAATACGATCACCCCATTGTCTGAAAACTGGAACAAAGGAATAGCAGATTATTACAAAGCAACATATGCATACCTGTCAACCCATAGGATTACCCTGTGTTCTTGTACAGGGAAATTGAGTTTTCAGGTCCATACAGCATACAGCCGTTTCATTACGGGGAAAACAAATAAATTTGTGTTTCTCCTTTGTGATGGGACTTTGTAGGATGAACGTTGAAATTTATAAGGGCATGGGGGTGTCCAATAAGGTCTGAATTGGTCTGTAATAAGGTAGGCACTGATAAGGGCTTGACAGGTATGCATATGAAGCATGTGATGACATTGGTGTAAGTCAGCTTATACGTACGTATTCTCGCAGAGATTATAATTTTAACACAACTGTATTTGCAAGGGAATGTGAGTTCAAAATGTAGTCAGGTTTCCTTCGGCGTATCCTTCCTTCGAGGCTATATGAAGGAGTGCCATCTCCAGGGCATTACTTAGTGCAGCATCGGCAGATATTGTTATATAGACACTTATTCTCACAATATAAATATGATATATCCATGACTGTGTCAGGAGCACCATTTACCAAATATTAAATGTACACAACGGTACAATAAAAATGTAATTGTTACAATCTCACTAAAAACAATTATAATCTATATGAAATCTATTGAAATATGACTTTCACACATAGTATAGTAGATTAACCATCTAACTTCAATGAGAATTTTAAAAATATATTTTCTTGCACGATATATTTTACACTGAGCACAGCCACTCCGGTACTTACATATAGTTTCTGGAAGAACTTGGAACCAAAAGGAAAATCATAGGGTGGCATGAAGTACGGAGACACAAAGTCTCTAATTTGGAACTGCAGAATGATATCGTTTACATTTGTGCCATATGCAAAAAGTCTGTAATCTATGAAAGAAGACACACACATCCAAACATTAATCAACCAATATACACGCGTCTATTATACTCTAACAATATATCTAAACGTAATATGCTAAATAATGTTTTTTTTTTAAATTGTAATCTTGAGTTATGCAGTTGGCAAAAAAAAGTTTGATGCAAGGTTAATTGTATGAGAGGCTGCTCAACTTTGATTAAACATCTTAATCAACAACCAAGAAGCTTACTGAATGACATTGTTCACACGTTTTCAGTGTTGAATCAATGTGAACATGCTGCCTGGGGTTACCTTTCCCACCAGAGATTTATTTTGTGAATACATTTCAGCATTCCCATTAATTTAATTTGTAGGAAGTGAATGGCATTATTAAAATAAGACTTCGATAACACATGTCTTTTTGGGTTAGATCGCAGAAATATAAATATGTCGTTATATCCGCCATCACCCAACACAGCCAATTAATAAGGTTTGTCACGTAAAACAAATGCCAATTATGTGCCAATCACGTGACAAACCTCACTAATTGGCTGTGTCGGGTGGTGGCAGGCTTAACAAAACATTTATATTTACACAATTTAACCCAAATAAACCAACACATTTATCATGAAAGCCGACGTGTTAAACCAAAATAAGACATCGCAAAACCGCACTTACACCATAGCCATACATTCAGCCAGCAAACGCATCTTGCTCGCTTACAACGCGTCACAATGTACCTAGCTTACCACGACGTGACCTCACCTATAAGCGTGGCAGACGGGGTGGTTGTGGATGGCTGCGACGTGGTCGTCGTCCCGACTGACGTCGATGTCGCGGTTGAAGATGTGGATGGCGGAACTATAACAGTCGAAGACGCGGTTGCACTTGATGTAGCTGAAGTGCCCGTTGTGTTCTGAGTCACCGTCACGGTTGACTGTGAAGTAGGTGGAACAGTCGAAGTCAGGTTTTCAGTTGAAGTTGGCACTACGGTTGTGGCTGACATGGAACTGAGAGTATTAGCTGTCGCATTTGTCCTGCTTGTCGATGTTGCAGTTATTGGACTAGAGGAATTTCCTGTTGTAGAGGAAACGGTTGTTGAAGTTTGCCCTATAATGGGGGAAACTGGAGATGTTGCTGTGGTCGAAGCATTTGTTGTAGAATTAACTCTGACCGTAGAAGTTGCTGTTGGCGAGGCTGTTGTTGGGCTTGAGACAATCGTAGAATTAACTCCGACCATAGAAGTTGCTGTTGCTGATGCTGGGCTTGAGACAATCGTAGAATTAGCACCGACCGTAGAAGTTGCTGTTGCTGATGCTGTTGCTGGGCTTGAGACAATCGTAGAATTAGCTCTGACCGTAGAAGTTGCTGTTGGTGAGGCTGTTGCTGGGCTTGAGACAATCGTAGAATTAGCTCCGACCATAGAAGTTGCTGTTACTGATGCTGGGCTTGAGACAATCGTAGAATTAGCACCGATTGTAGAAGTTGCTGTTGGTGAGGCTGTTGTTGGGCTTGAGACAATCGTAGAATTAGCTCCGACCATAGAAGTGGCTGTTGCTGATGCTGGGCTTGAGACAATCGTAGAATTAGCACCGATTGTAGAAGTTGCTGTTGGTGATGCTGTTGCTGGGCTTGAGACAATCGTAGAATTAACTCTGTCCGTCGAAACTGCGATTTGTGATGCTGTTGCTGGGCTTGAGAGAATCGTAGAATTAACTTTGTCTGTAGGAGCTGTGATTGGTGATGCTGTTGCTGGGCTTGAGACAATCGTAGAATTAACTCCGTCTGGAGAAATTTCTGTTAATGGTGCTCTTGTTGAGCTTGACGTATTGGTTGTAAAATAAACTCCTGCAGAGGGTGAGGCTTGTGTTGTATTGGTAATTCCTGTTGTTTGAGGCGGTGTAGTCGTTTGGACTGTTGGATTAATATTACCAAAAATGATTATTCAACACATAATTCAATTTGCCAACTTTTGTTAAAGGTCAAAGTCAAAGTGACTTCTCGCTCAAATTCTTAGTGAGGTAGTGCTCATTGCTTTACAGTTCTGCAGTTCTGAGCCAGTCGTGTAAACTTTCTTAATAGGACACCTATTGTTGATTTCCCCCAAAAAATTGGTACTCGTTTTACCCACCCCAGAGGAATGACGGGTTGAGACAACCACATTCAGGATTTTACCTCGCAACCTTCCGATTGTTGAGCTGCTTGTTCTACGACTGAGGCACATGGCCTTTTTCAAATAAGCATAACAGGATGCAATACAAATTGGATGTATGAATTACTGAGAGAACCTACATGTGATGGCATTGCTTTATGCGACACAAGATTATAATCTTTTATTCTTTAGTTTTTTTATTCGGCATCTTGTTATATATATTTTTTACTCTGCAAAACTCATTTGGGAAAAGCTATTTGTCTTCAATAAACATACACAATAATATATAAGTAAAATTGTTATTGCATCTCAATTTGAAGAATGCGAATTATACTCCATTGAATAGTGTCCTTTTTTTCTGGAATATTAAGGTGCAGTTGTTTAGAAAAAATGCTATACAATTGCTAGCACAAAATGTGTTGTACATCAGTTCGTATTTCATCGTATAATACAACAATAGAAAAGATATGAAAAGAAAAAAAAAGAAAACAAAAACAAATCAAAGGAACTGGCGACATATTCAACCAAATTTCACGAACATACATTTTTTTTATAAATATCCTCTAATGCATTAAATTAATCACGTAATAGAAATACTGTATATTATGCACGTACACTAATTAAAACGTGTTTGTTTTACATTTTAAAATGTAATTGTTTCATCCAAAGACCAGTTAGCTTTTAGGCATTGCCGTGCAAATGTTGGCAAAAATGCCTCTTAGATTACATGATATTTCATACCTCATAAACAAAGTCACTGGGAGTATTACATTACTTGTATTGGACATATAGATTCTACATTTAATTTTACAAAAAAAAATACCAGGTAAGGCCCACTGAGCTACGTAGCTCTTTTTCAGAAGCAACCTGGCCACAAATGATAGCTCAATGACGTAGCATATCATGTGGACATTTATAGCATGTTTCTAAATGTGGAGGGAAAACCCAGTGGACCCAGAGAAAAATCCACGCGATCACGGGGAGAACATGCAAACTCCAAATATGCAGTGCCAGGGTCAGGATCGAACCCACGACCTCCCATATACCAGACGAGGTCGTTAACATGTCTCCCTGTGGTGCCCTTTTATTAATCTTGACAGCCTGAAAGCTGATATCCAAAAACATCCACAAATGCATTTACTAAAGCAAGACACCTTCCAATTTTGCCACTAAAATTTAATGTTGTTACTAAACTTTCAAATATGGGTTCCCAGTTTTTCATACGACTGATTATAGATAACTATCATTATTCTCCCCAAAACCTTAGAACACAAACATAAATATCAGTATATTATATCAAAATGTGCACGGTTAAATGAACTGTGTTAACAATTCGTGTAAATACGGACTGGGGGTGGAGTGGTGGTGTAGTGGTTAAGGACCCTGTACTAATTCTCTGCAATGTTGATGCCTTTTTATTTTGTTGTTGTTGTACTCACGGCACTACGGATATCCCGTAAAGTCTTATCTTATTTTATATTCAGACAACGCTTTTGATCAAGGATAGCTGTACTACAATAAAAAAATAGGCAGATAACTGGGATCATCATCCGTGTAACAAATCAAATAAACTCAAAACGTACTGCATTGTCCACGGCGATGATTAGCGGAGAGTGATATACGCAACACAGGTTCTGGGTGACCCCCATTACCCGCCCGCTCGGACAAGCATGGTTAAGCATGGTTAACAACAGCCATGCCCAACAAGGGTATGGTAGTAGTGGGTAGGAGTCTGCATATTGCAGTGGATGGACAAAAGGTATGTAAATAATGTGTGGACTTACTTGTACAACTTGCATGTGTATCATCTGTCATAGGAGGGGACAAAAACATGACATTAGAGTTTTATAAACACTCATGATAAAGATTGTTTTATCTATATGGAATTTATTTAAAGCCTTGTATGGTGGGTTATGTCAGGCCATTTTGTAGGTCGAGTTGGTGAATCGCGCTAATTTCATCATGTGCTATGAGATTCCCAAATCCTCTGAGTGGTGAAGTGGCCCGTCACAACCAGCCTCCCAATGCTTGGATTTACTCCAGCTATTCAATTCAAATAGCCCCCCCCCTTTTTATTGAGGTTTTTTTTCAATAACAAATATGATAAATATTCGTGGAAGTTCAGCAATATCGAGGTTTACAAGTACAAGCGGGACATTTTGCTGTAATCCCCGGCCGCGATATCGGGGAAAACGAAAGGGGAGCTGCAGAAGTGTCTTAGCGAAAAGGGGCAGAAGCGGGAATGAGGAAACGGATGAAGAGCTGGGAGGTTGTATCCAGAAAGGTGCACGTCTTGGAGATAGGAGACAGGTCAGAGTCAACAACAGGAACCATATTTTTGCATCAGCCACCAGAGGACCCCACAAAATAGTTACTTAAATTAAAGTGGCCAAACGTATTAATACAAGACCTTCCTAAAAGAGGTAATTAAGACGCAATTTTTTAAATCTCTGTATATAAATAATGAACATGCATACACTTGGTTCCTTATTAAAATAATGACACAAATGCACAGAATTGCACATTCAAGTTTTAATAAGTGGAATATTAAATGAGACGTTTACTTGTGGTGCGCTGATATCCTTGAATGCATGAGCAGTTGTATGACCCGACTGTGTTTTCACAACTGGTTCCAGATCCACAGTCGGCTGTATTTGTCCCACATTCATCAATGTCCACGCATAGTGCCCCATTACCTGTTGACACAGACACATTTCATTACTCACGCGATGCTCGGTCAGCACCAGTCTAAAACACAAGTATGACGGCCGATAACGTGGAAATAACTCGAGTGCAGTCTATGACGTTTGAACCAGCTTCTTACAATCTGAAATTATTGTTCTCACACTTGTAATTCCGCAAACCATTGCACGTGCCACAAATTAAAGAGGATTCGAGTGCGAATTCTGCATCGTAAATGTTATGCACAGATGCACCAGAGTGAAACGTGACCTGGCATTAACGGATCCTTCCGTTTGCTACAGACTCGCGGTTTGAATCCAGCGGCTGCTCCAAATATCGTTGCTGCTGTGCCATTACATGATTGTGCTAGGCGCCGTCTGCTTCACGGTAAACATAAAGATTCGCCTGACATCGTTCGTGAGGGTGGGACATTGTGCGTCAGCATCAGGGTGCAAATTTGCCAAAAATACCAAAAATCCACGAAAAATTACTTAACTGGGATTCGCAGTCATTGCCCCCCTACTGGCGGACTAATGCCCTAGTTCACGCTTGCAAATGAGAATATCCTGGTTTATTGTCTGCATAAACTTGAATATCAATTTTATAACAGACACAGGAGGGTGAGCAACACAGTTGGACATCGTTTGAAATCCATCATCGCATTGGCGTCGGTAGGATCCTTGGATGTTTATACAATTTGAATTGGCACTGCAGTTGTGCTGCAGGCTCAAGCACTCATCCACATCCTGGAAAATGTTTTCCACGAGCATATATCCCGCAAGACAACGGGCAATTGAATGAGCCGGACGGGTTACGGCACGCAGACCCTGCCGCACATGCAGCACCACCGGCCAATTTGCACTCGTTCATACCTGTGCATTGACTCACTGAAAAAAAGCGTTGGCCGTGAAAATTTTACCAACTCATGTTTATCATTTCCCTTTCCCCCTTCCAAACACACTCTTTGTCATAGCATACGACAACGCTGCGAAAAAGTGGACATCACAGCTTATATTCGAATTCATCTCTCGATTGCATAGCACACACTATTACCAGAGATCCAATAAAGTACTTTTTTTCAGAAGACAATTTACAATTAAAGCTTAATGTAAATTGACATGTACACCACCGTATAATTCAAACAACATATGACTATCGCAAAGGTTTTCATTTATGCAGGTACTATAGGACTTTCCACCAAACATTTACAGACCCGCCATTGGCCACTAAGTGACTGTGACGTCACCACGGTGCCTGTGCCAGGCCAGATGCACTTTGAGGCCACATGAAGTGTCGGAAGGCTTGTTGACAGGTCACGGGACAGACCCAGGTGCCATGGGTTGTTTTCTGTGCCAGGCTAAGTACAGGAGGTCACCGGACAGATCCAGGTGCCATGGGTTGAATGACTGAGATGACTGGCAGATGCACCACCTGTGCCCCCCTATTGTGCAAACTTACTGTTATATCCACTATTGCAGATGCAGTAATAACTTCCTTTAGAGTTATAACACGTAGAATGTTCAGTGCAGTTGTAGATTCCGATCTCACACTCGTTCACATCATTGCAGGTCCGGTCGTCGCTACCGATCGTGTACCCAGACACACAGCCACACGTGAAGCTGCCGATTGTGTCACTGCACGTCCCGTAATTGGAGTCGCAAGGCGTCTGTCTGTTGGCCACGGATATGCTGCACTCGTTAACATTGATGCAATCCGTTATGCTCGTGCCGTTTAGAATATATCTGGAATGAAAATAAATATCGTGTTCAAAACAGCTATTTCTCATTATTTAAACACTACCGTGCCGTCATTTAAAAGAGGGAGAAGTGGACAATACAATGTACAACATCACGAACATAATACAAGTTCAAAAATAGAAAAGCAATGCAATGATGAAGTAAAATAACTAATAAAAGTGGAAAAAGTAAAAAAAAACGTGATACTCTTTCAAGTTAGTCAAAAATAGAAGCACAATTTAAATGAATGAGCTTAAAAAATAAATTAGCTGATAAAATACAGAGCACGTTGACATAAATGATTAAAAATAGAGTACATTAGGGATAATGCTTCAAAGGCCTGTGCATCCTAAAGCACAGTTCGAAGTAGGAAATGTTTAATAGATCATCAAAATAAAAACAGTAAGGCTCAAACAATGTCACGGTGATCTGTGAGGTCTGCTAATTGTCCAGGCACAATGAATGATACATACCCATTATTACAGGCACAGGCTTTGGAATTCGTGCTGTCTATGTAACAGGTGCCAGTTGCATTGCATACATCTGCCTGACAAGAAATATTGGCTGCAAGGAAAAAGTAAAACAAAATTCATGATTATTATTTCTCACATTGATTTTTTTTATCACTTTATTAGTTTTACATTAATGGGTGTCTAATATGACATTTAAGTCCATCAACCAAATGTCTGACTGAGCAATTGTTTTCCAGCACATTTGTTGTAAGCAAGGCATTGCGTTATTTGTGGATGGCTCTTGCCTGTGACACCAGGCAACCTACGAGCTATTGTTTCAGGGACAAAGCCCTGTTAATGAGACTCAGGGCCATGTTAATTGGCCAGGGCTGGGTTAATTGGCCAGTGGTCCAAGTAAGAACTTGGTAATTTCAGTAATAATCTATCAAAAGTGCTGCATGCGGTTTGTTAGGCATGAAATGTATTGTATTGTATATCTAATGCCCTTTGTTAATTCACTGCTGGATGATGGACTACTCATGCTATGTGGGTCATGGGGAGTTGTTTGGCCATACAAGACTATACTGGTCAGTGCAGGTTGAAGGTATGGAGCACAGAAGTACAGTACAACGACAAATTAACACTTCTGTGCCAATTCCAATCAGTACGTATCCTTGAAACATCCATATCGCAAACATCGTTGATAGCATTTTCAAGCCATTTGCAATTAAATGTATCCACCGTTTAAAATAAAATATAATTGTATAAAAAATCAAACGTGACAGTAAAAAAACAGTATTTGGTCTTCTACATACGTTGACAAGTGCCATTCACGTTGCTGAAGAGATCGAAGCAGCTGCACTCATAGCCTCCTTCAGTGTTCGTGCAGTTCTGAGAGCAGTTGTGAAGACTTTTCACACATTCATCAACATCTAAATAAAAGGTGACGAGGGCATTTGCAGCAATCAGTAAATGTTCAATCCGTCACGAGCGAATAGTAGGTCCTCTATGTATTATTATTGCTAAAGATATACTTGTAATTTCATTGCCATTTGAAATGCATACAATTGTCGAGAACGGTTCATCATGAGCACCATCAGCCATGATCAATCCACTGCTGGATGAAGGCCTCCCCAAGCAGTCACCATCTTTGATGGTTCTACACTGTAAAATGCACCTAGCATCTGCACACAGCCTGAATTCACCGATCCATCACACACATTCCATTCCTCGCCTGCCACTCGTTTACTATTATACTTATTTTATAATGCAATTGCAATTGTCTGCTGTAGGTATTTTACAAAAAAATTATACGGGGTATCATTTTCTAGCCAGACCTGTTGGAATGCCAACCAGCAGAGTGAACGGAACCATGTTAAATTCACAATCTATGCTTCCAACCACATACATAAACAATGCTTATGTCTTTCATTTTCAAATACACCTAAACATATTTCATTATTTCCAGACCTAGGCAGGTTGTTCCATCATTTTCCAGGTAATATCCAGGTGGACAAGTGCACTTGAAAAGGCCAGGGGTGTTGGTGCAGTTGACACCAACTGGGCCTTTGCAAGGCTGAGATGTGTTCATTGGTGGTTGACACTCATCAATGTCTGAAAAGCAAACAGTATTATCATTAAATCACTGACCGCATCATATGATAGTTGTTTGCAACGCTCAATCATTATTGTCTGCATAAACGTAGAGAATAAGACCGAATCGATTGATTACGGTTGTTTTAATGTTAGCACTTCTAAAATAATTCGATAATTGAGTATGTTTGCATCTGTGCTCTATAGTTATTCGATGTGTTTCCACTCTAGGTGTCAGCAGCTCCGTCAGTGTCTGAGCCTCCTGCGGAAGCACTTGACATCGGACATGACGCAGGACAACACATGGTGCAAGCCGAAAAAGCATCAGTGAGCTATAATTTTGTGTTTGATCTATGTTCATTTTGATTGGACTCACAAGAGATGCTCAATTCAATCTTGATTTGAAGCTTTCGTGACTGCAGGAATCCATACTCTTTGGTTCTTTCGGTACTTTTTAAAACAGTCTGCCTCAGCAGCAGACCATGCTTTCCCACCTGATGATGGACGCTTGTGTTGCACCCGAAACGTCGTGATTTATTTTATTTTATACCTACGTGACTTTACCGAAAGAACCAAAGAGTATAGATGCTCAATTGTTTTCTTTGTGGATATACCCCAATTTTTATTTTATATTAAGCTGAACTGGCAACGTTATAAATGTCCAAATGATGGCCGACTTTGATGAGCTATCATTTGTGGCCAGGTTGCTTCTGAAAAATAAGTTCATACCTCAGTGGACTTTGCCTGGTAGGATGGGGATTGTTTAGTGTTATTTGTTTGTGTTCGGGTGATTTGTTTACCTTTCTTATACTTTGCACTCCTATCGTGTTTTTGTACTGTTTGTTGTTGTAACATTCTTACCCGCCGCGACTGGACATCTGTGAAAAGAGCTTTACAGCTCATCGGATTCTTCCAGTATGAATACATGTTTAGATTCTGATATATCATTGGCTCTATCTGATGGACTTCCACAGTTACATGACGAAGGAGTGTTTCGTTGAATAAATCCTATACCTCCCTCTATCTGGCTACCAATACCTCTAAAATAGCTGTGAGTGCATTGGGCAGGAATCTAAGAACCTCCAATAAAGACTGCACAGGCTTTATAAACCACAGCCAAGCAGCAGAAACAACCATAGGAAAAAATACATTTAGTGTCTGAAGAGGGCACCTAATTGTTCCTAAATTGTGAGTTAAATCATAACTTCTGGGTAGATGTGTGCTGTGTGTGAGGTTACAACAAATGATTTTTGTTGTTTGAAATGTTTTGTACCAGTGCAGTTGCCTCCAGTATCCCTGTATCCAGCCTTGCACTGACAGGAGTAGCTGCCATCAAAGTTCTGGCAGACACTTTCCGCTGTGCATTTGTTCAGGGATGCGATGGCACACTCGTTGATATCTTGAAAACAACAGGAGACAAATCGTTAAAAAAGAGCACAGCAAGTTCACCTTCATTCGTTCATTTGCTCCCGGTTTTTTTTTACATCATTATTTACTTTGGAGGCAGTGATGAGCAGAGTGGGGTATCAACTCAACCCTTCATTCCTCAAGTGTTGATGGACAAAGACAAGAATAAGTGAAGGGTCGGCAGCTTGCTGTTGCCTTGTGGTCAACGCCATGGGAATACACGATTTCTACTTCGGACTCATGGCCATCAATTGAAGGTGAGCGATGCCTCCGGTAGCGAGATGTGAGCTACCTCGCCTGGTATACAGGAGGTTGTGGGTTTGATCCCGACCCTGACGCCAGCTGTATATTTGGAGTTTGCATGTCTCTCTCCCCGTGGTCGCGTATATTTTTCTCCGGGTCCTCCGGTTTTTCCCTCCACATTTATAATCACCATCATGTGTTTAGAATATGTGGCTGCTATACATTTCCACACAATAAACCACTGCGTTGAGCTATGATTTGTGATGGCCAGGTCGCTTCTAAAAAAAATAGCTATACAGCTCAGTGAGCCTTACCTGGTAAAAATTTAAAGTTTATATTTTTTATATGACTCGTTTGACTGCGAACAGCACTTGGCTTGAGATGAATGTCGTACAGGGTGAAAGCAAAGGTGCAGCCATGAAGTGCCTTTCTCACACTATCACTCGAGGAAGCTCCTGGATAAAAACCTCAGGCATCTAGGGGGCATTTCCCGGCCTACTCGTCAACGATGGCCGGACGCCTTGACAGAGGTGGGAGTAACCACATTTTTTACCCCACCGTAATTCACCACAACCGGCAGTGTGTCCATTTATACTTCTGGGTGTGCAGAGGCGGGGGGTGGGCGGGTGATATAAGAATATTGTACCATCTTTACGTAATACAGCAATATTTGCACATTGCAGGATAATTAAATAAGTAAAAACATCGAGTGATCACCTGGGTTAAGTGTTGTTTTTTTTTATTTAAACAAAACACTAAACGACAAACTGTCCCAAAAAAAACAGCTATCACGTGCAGAAGACATTCCTTCCCTCACTCTTACAACATCGAGTGCCACACGCCTGCTGCGCGGGTTGAGATGCGTCCGCTTGTATACCTGTACAGTTGCCGTCCGCGTCCAGCTGGTATCCTGCATTGCAGACGCATGTGTACGAGCCATTGTTGTTTCTGCATATCTTGGTTTTCTTGTCGCACGGCTGTGATTCCACACATTCATCGATGTCTGTTCAAAACAAATAATTACATTGTAACAATGCAACATTGTGACAATTAGTTCAACCATACACTATTATTTTAGGCTTCAATTCTTGGCATTTTTTGTAATATTCTGTCTCTGCATGGACGATGAACGGAGCGGTTTAAAACAGGGCACTATTATTTGTTTGCAGTCCTATGTCAATCAACTGACGGGATGGTCTCCCCTGTGTCAGTTATGGGGGTTATTCTACCATACTTCACCACGCTGGGCAATACGGATTCAGTGAAAATTTTCAGATGTCGCTCACCACCCATTTGAGCCACGGCTGGCAATCAAACTCGGGTCACCACATTCATAATGATTTGCCCGAAACGATGCACTACCACTCCCCTGAAGAGTGAGCTCTGGATAACCCCTCTAGAGGCTTTTTGGCCTCTTCTTCCACGCTCGCTTTTCCTTCTTCTGCCAACTGTCACACCAGGGGATACAGTGAGGGAAAAACGTATTTGATCCCCTGCTGATTTTGTACGTTTGCCCACTGACAAAGAAATGACCAGTCTATAATTTTAATGGTAGGTTTATTTGAACAGTGAGAGACAGAATAACAACAAGAAAATCCAGAAAAACGCACACTCTTAAAGGGAGTGCTCCTAATCTCAGCTTGTTACCTGTATAAAAGACACCTGTCCACAGAAGCAATCAATCACTCAGATTCCAAACTCTCCACCATCCGCAAGACCAAAGAGCTCTCCAAGGATGTCAGGGACAAGATTGTAGACCTACACAAAGCTGGAATGGGCTACAAGACCATTGCCAAGCAGCTTGGTGAGAAGGTGACAACAGTTGGTGCGATTATTCGCAAATGGAAGAAACACAAAAGAACTGTCAATCTCCCTTGGCCTGGGGCTTCATGCAAGATCTCACCTCGTGGAGTTGCAATGATCATGAGAACGGTGAGGAATCAGCTCAAAACTACACGGGAGGATCTTGTCAATGATCTCAAGGCAGCTGGGACCATAGTCACCACGAAAACAATTGGTAACACACTACGCTGTGAAGGACTGCAATCCTGCAGCGCCCGCAAGGTCCCCCTGCTCAAGAAAGCACATATACATGCCCGTCTGAAGTTTGCCAATAAACATCTGAATGATTCAGAGGACAACTGGGTGAAAGTGTTGTGGTCAGATGAGACCAAAATGGAGCTCATTGGCATCAACTCAACTCGCCATGTTTGGAGGAGGAATGCTGCCTATTACCCCAAGAACACCATCCCCACCGTCAAACATGGAGGTGGAAACATTATGCTTTGAGGGTGTTTTTTTGCTAAGGGGACAGGACAACTTCACCGCATCAAAGGGACGATGGACGGGGCCATGTACCGTCAAATCTTGGGTGAGAACCTCCTTCCCTCAGCCAGGGCATTGAAAATGGGTCGTGGATGGGTATTCCAGCATGACAATGACCCAAAACACACGGCCAAGGCAACAAAGGAGTGGCTCAAGAAGAAGCACATTAAGGTCCTGGAGTGGCCTAGCCAGTCTCCAGACCTTAATCCCATAGAAAATCTGTGGAGGGAGCTGAAGTTTCGAGTTGCCAAACGTCAGCCTCAAAACCTTAATGCCTTGGAGAATATCTGCAAAGAGGAGTGGGACAAAATCCCTCCTGAGATGTGTGCAAACCTGGTGGCCAACTACAAGAAACGTCTGACCTCTGTGATTGCCAACAAGGGTTTTGCCACCAAGTACTAAGTCATGTTTTGCAGAGGGGTCAAATACTTACTTCCCTCATTAAAATGCAAATCAATTTATACAATTTTTGACATGCGTTTTTCTGGATTTTTTGTTGCTATTCTCTCTCACTGTTCACATAAACCTACCATTAAAATTATAGACTGATCATTTCTTTGTCAGTGAGCAAATGTAAAAAATCAGCAGGGGATCAAATACTTTTTTCCCTCACTGTTACATTGAACTGGCGAACTCTAAATTCCAAAGTCCGATGCGCTAACCATTACACCATGGCCGCATGATACATTTAGTGTAACTGGAGAGATATTGTTAAGTGATGTCTTTGTAAGTCAATCCATGAAATTTAAAATATATATGTATTGTTAACCCAAATATTGCCATCTCTCGGTTACTTTTGTTGAACTTTCACAGCCATTCAACTTGTTAATGAACGTTACTGAAAAGGATTGTGAATAAGGGATTCGTTTTATGCCATGCCTCACCTGTACAAAGGGTTGCGTTCCATCTGTATCCGGGATTGCACTCACAGGTATAGTTGCCGGGTACGTTCATGCAATTTTCATTGGCTCGGCAGATGGTTTGATTCTCGCATTCATTGATGTCTGCACATGAAGAGGTACATGTTGATGGCATTTCAATTTCTAATATCAAAATCAGTTGATACAAAATGGTCATTCTACAAATGCCTTGAAACGCATTTTAGACTATTAAAATAGATGAAATAACAACCAGATAATTTATAAATGACACATATTCCTTCTGGTAAACATTAATTATTACAATCACCAAGCCAAGGCACTATGAGCACATTTCCAGGAAAACGTGAAGTTAATTATTGTGTAGTGTGGTAAAATACGTGGCACACACTGTTGGCCGAGGGCAACCGAGGACAAACACGTGCACGTGTGCAACATTAGGTTGCACGGGCAAACCGCCACCTCAGGGGGGGAAGCCGGTGCAAACCAGGTCGGCCCGGGGTTGCACGCTGACACCGGAGGTGTTGCCAGGGAGACGTGCGATAAGGGGTGATTGATGGCCTCACAGGCGCTAGCCTGTCGGGCACTAAAAAGACACTAGGGAGGAGCCGGACAATTGGGAGGGGGATATAAGGATGCATGTGAGAGTGGAGCGAGTGTTCGTGTTGCTGGGACAAGAGGGAGAGAAGACGTCTCGCCGCGGCCGTTCAAGCCGGGGACGGACCTCAAGCCTCACGAGTCGCCGGGCGGGTGATGGTTGATCTCCCCGCCCGGATCGGACGAGTGAGTGGGTTTGAGGGAACGTAGGCGAGGGCAGCGGCGCTGTGTAAGAAGCTGTGTGAGCGTTGCAGTGTGCAAGTTTCTGTGTGAGCGCTGCTGTGTGTAAGCTTCTGTGTGAGCGCTGCTGTGTGCAAGCCTCTGGGTGAGCGCTGCTGTGTGCAAGCCTCTGTGTGAGCGCTGCTGTGTGCAACCCTCTGTGTGAGCACTGCTGTGTGCAAGCCTCTGGGTGAGCGCTGCTGTGTGCAAGCCTCTGGGTGAGCGCTGCTGTGTGTAAGCCTCTGGGTGAGCGCTGCTGTGTGCAAGCCTCTGGGTGAGCGCTGCTGTGTGCAAGCCTCTGTGTGAGCGCTGCTGGGTGCAACCCTCTGTGTGAGCGCTGCTGAGTGCGGAGCTACTGAGAGCGAGAGCTGCTGTGTGCGGAGCCTTGAGTGCGGAGCTGCTGAGAGCGAGAGCTGCTGTGTGCAGGTTAGCAAGGTGTAACGTAGATAAGAGTAGAACTTGATTAACAGAAGTGACCGTAGAGACAGTGATAGGAGTGCCGACAACTGGTGCAAAAATAGACAAATAAAGTGTAAGCAGGTGACCTGTTGCAACGTGTCAGTCTGAGTGATTTTACAAGATACTACAATTGTATTAAGATGTTTTTATTTCCACAACTTGTATTTCACAGTAAGGCAACAAAACAGATAACTGAAGCCCAAGAGGCCATTCAAATCATGAAATATGCAGCTTGTGTGCATGCATAATGTGACAAATACTTGTCAAAGGCTAAACTTTTATAAATTTGTGATGGGCTGCATATATCTTACGTCAAATGGACTTAAAATATATATTTTATGATACGTAGCAAATCTGTGGAAACAAAATACTTTTGATATTTTCGCAAATATTTCACCACAAAAACACCCAGTGTTCAATCCACCTGTCGCATTTTCAGAAATCTCATCCACGTTAAAAAAGTTTAAAAAATATATACCTGTGCAGTAGGTCCCATTGCCAGTGTATCCGCTGGCACATAGGCAAGTGAAGGATCCAACGGTGTTCACACAGTTTGCATAATTCCTATCACAGTTGCTTTTCCCATTCGAACACTCGTCTTCGTCGGCGCAGTTCATGCCATTTCCGACGTAGCCAGTGTTGCAGCTGCAACTGTAGGAGCCGTCCGTGTTGGAGCATGTGGCATTTGAGTGACATGAATCATGGCCACTTGTACACTCATTTATATCTGAAAAAAATAATGATCGTACATATCACAGTCATTTAATATAGCGTTTCAATTATGGTCTCTAAATACAATCACGGATATATATTTTTACATGCATTGATATCAATGGGACTTTTTTGCCAGTATCAAGACGATGAAAAAATAAGAATAGGCTTTACCCTTTCTGGCAATAAAATAGGTGTTAAGGTGTTCTAACACCCAATAGATACCGTTTGCACAACATCAAGTCTGTATTAGCCACTCATACTTGTTGCAATACATGCTTCTTTATGCAATACATGTCTTCTTTATGGCCCTGTCTGACCAGTGTCGGCCAATCAGTTTCAAAGACAATGCATATATAATTATTAGAGTATGTATGTTTGCATGTATTTCCACAAGTATGTATGGTTAATGCAGACTTGATGCCTAGCAATAGGTATCTATTTGATGTTTGCACATCTTAATACCTGTTTTATTTACAGAAAGGCAAGGCCTATTCTTATTTTTTCATCGTACAAGAAAGTGACTTTACACACATGCTAATAGCTTTACTGTATAAAGATTGTACTACCTGTGCAGTTTGGTCCAGCGTAGCCAGATGTGCAGTTACAAGAATAGGACCCTTCACTGTTCAGGCAGACTGAATTGTTAATGGAAAAGCAGGGATTGGTGGCCAATGCACACTCATCTATATCTGTAGGAGAAAAACAAACATGCATTGACATCAAAAGGGGCACGTGCATGCATGGCAAAGTGTTCCCTTTGACCTCTTACATAAAGTTAAAGAGTGGTATGAAGCATACTTTCTGTATGGGTTAGAGGAGATGCGGAGATGTCAGTTCACTGCAAGCAATCTGATTATACATTTACTGCTGAGATAAACTTATTTAAACACATTTGAGGACAAAATGGACATTCAAGAGTGGATCGAGCAAGTTTCAATCAACTAACGTTAATATTGCATTACTCATGGGTCGCAAGCACATCGAGCGGGGCTAATATCTACACAATTGCACCTTAATAATTCAAAACCATTTCCAGTCGTCGTGGGCTGGACACATGCATGTAGCACATGGGCCCCAGGTACATCCATACCGCATTGCTTCGATGAAGTCACAAGCTCACAAACCATGGCAAACTTTGCACTATAATTCGGCCCTTTACTTAATTTAAGATGTCCCTTTCTTCCACACATGGTGAGTGAACCCCACGCGATTTGAGGTCATGTTTCCATGCCGCCTTCCAGTGCCACTTAAATGTTGCATGATTTCCTTGAATGGTCTTTGTTACTCAGTGTCTAGCAATGTTATAATCTCTTCGCTGATGTCACTCCTTTTTTTCACCAAGGTCCACCGTTGGGGTCATTCTTGTGACTCGGATTGAGGCTAAATGTTTTTTTACCCACGTAAACAAATAGATCGATAAAATGAACGGTTCGAAACCCTGCAATCACATGTGTTTTTTAAGTAAGCCATGCATGTGCACATCTACAAAAGGGCATTTGCATGGTTATTCAAAAATCATCCAAGCAACTAAAGATGTAGAGCATCGCACGCGATTTCTTACCTATGCAATATAATTTTCCGTCTCCTTGGAATCCAGGATTGCATGTACAATTGTAACCCCCAGGTGTGTTCACACATTGGCCATTTACATGACAAAGTGTAGAGTTCAAGGCGCACTCATCTATGTCTAAACACAGAGAAAAGTTGTACATATTCAAACAATACATTTTAAATTTTGATTTAAAGCTTTCGTGACTGCAGTAATTCATATTCTTAGCTCTTTCGGTAAAGTCACGTTGAAGGGAAACAATAAAATAATAAAATATATAAAACAATAAAAATATGGTATGGTCGAAACGTCATGAGAATTTTTATTGTTTTATATATATTTTATTATTTTATTGTTTCCCTTCAACGTGACTTTACCGAAAGAGCTAAGAATAATACATTTTAAAACAATACATGTGAAACACTACATGTTAAAACAATAAACTTTCCAAACAAAAAATAATAACATTAGTTGATGAGTAATGAGTAACTATTCCCCGAGTTTGTGTTTTAGACTAATATGAGCAACATATATGCAAACACAGTATTTTAAGATGTAAATAAATGCACATTATGTTCCAGCAAGTAAATTATGGGAATAAAAAAGAGAACAATCTACGTGTTTTATTTGTGTTAAGGGCTGGAGTGTAATAGAGTGTTTGAGCTCCGGAGGGTACACTTTAGTCAACTCTATAAGTTGGTGGGTAATGTCCTTACATAATTACAACATCGCATTGCATAATATATCTATGACAATGCATACGTGTAAACCCATATAGTTTACCCGTATTCTTGTAAAGGGAAATAGAGTTTTCAGGTCCATACAGTGTACAGCCTTTCAATACGGGCAACAATACATTATTTGTCTATTTGTTTGTGTTTCTTCATTGTGATGGGACTTTGTAAGATAAACGTTGATATTTATAAGGGCACTGGGTGACCAATAAGGTCTGAATTGTTCTGTAATAAGGTAGGCACTGATAAGGGGATGACAGGTATGAAAATGTGTTTGTTTCCCCAGCATGAGAGGCTGTCAGGCCAAGCCATTGCTGAGTCACGTGATTTTAAGATAGACATTGTTGCGCCCCAGGGCAATTCGGTAAGGCATGGTAAGCCCACGGGTTATACGAAAACCACAGCATCCTCGGAAGTAACATTGTTTTGCAGGCTCTACACTTGACAACCTCGATTTAGGCTACATTTTGCGAGTGGCATTTTTTACTGCAAATGTGCAGGGCACAATTAACGCACCGTCGCATTGTGTGCTATTTTCTGTGTTGATGATGAAGCCAGTGGTACAGTTGCATTCGAAGCTTTTGAGCGTATTCAAGCAGGTCTGCTCGCATGGTGGGGGCGAATTGAGACATTCGTCCACATCTGAATGAAAGAAAGCATGAGACAACATGAATACAAATCAATAATTGAGCTGGAAGGCAACCTAAGTGTACTCTTTTATTGCACGTATCCTATTACACGGATTTAATTGTGAAAAGGTGACTATGCAAATGAAACTTTTAGCATATTTTAATCTTTGATGAAATATTTTCAACGAGAAAAATTACCATCTCTTTTGCAAGGGTATCTAAGGAATCAATTGACACACACGCACATACATAGTAAGCACATAGTGGATTCTCTTGATCCATTCACCACAAGGTCGTTGATGCATCGATCTCCCTCCACAGCAGTTGAAATAATCAGTACGTTTCTTAAGCCTTTATCTCTGCAGTAAGTTATTTTAATATGGTGGGTTTTTAATGTATTTTTTTGACTCAGAAAGAAAAAAATCTTCATTGATTTCCTGAAAAGTGTCTGTACTGCACCTCATTAGTTTGTAGTAAATGACGGACGAGTAAACAAAATCAACAGTGAAATATGTACACACCGAAACACTTGCTCCCGTTGCCTGTGAGCCCAACGGGACAGGGCCCACACGAAAAGCCTAGGGAGGGTGCAGGTTCATCTGTGCAGTTCACTCCAGGATGGCAAGGGCTGTCCACACAGGCATTGTAGTCGTCCGTGCAGTATGCTCCCGCGTAGCCGATATCACATAGACAGCCGGCAACCTTCAGACGATTGCAGCAACACGGCAAATAAATGGAACGTGGCACGGGTTATGGACGCAAACTAAAGCCATCTTCCCGCTAAGGGCTGATCAAGCATTATGATGAAACGGTATATATTCAAGCACACCAAAAGTGGTAAGAGGATGCTGTTTTCTGATACCACTAATAGACATTGGTTTTTACCAAATCACATAAGCTGTCCCTTAGGACTCAATGAAAACGTATCAAAGTTGAAAAAGAGTACATTTTGTGTATGTTTGGGTGAATTTGAATTCAACAGTGTCTGTACATATCGGGCTATTTAAAGTGAGATTTTGACCTTTTGAATGGGACATTGATCATTATAGCCAGCCAATGAAATGCAGATGAAAAATAAAACTAAACTTCCATTTTCTGCTAATTTAATAACCGTGAATCATATTATAAATATATACGTTCCACCAACACAAAGTTGCCTAACTTTATATATAGGCTTTGACGACCAAAATTATGATTCATATTAGTTAATTATGGGTAAGATCTTGTAGCAAGTGTCTATTTTCAACTCGAACCCTTCACCACCCAACAGCGCCAATCAAATTATTTTTCCAGATGGGCAAATGTGCCACTTGATTTGATTTATCGGCAAAAATGGAGGAATGTTGAAAAGCAAACCAAATGTTCCAGATGTGTCCGACGTTTCGCTGGAGATTACATCCAACATCATCATCTGTCTCTGCTTTGTCTACTCTCTTATAATTTTAGGTTGAATTCTTTTTATACTCTTTGGTTCTTTTGGTAAAGTCACGTAGGTAGAAAAATAGTATATCACGACGTTTCGATCGCAACACAAGCAATCGTATTCAGGTGAAAAAAAATGTTAATTCGGAAAAGCAACAATTTTGTGGGAACATCCTTGCCAAAATAAACTTTTTTAAATCCTTATAGGGTGTTTTTTTACCAACATACCATTTGGGAGATATATATTATTTCCTCTTTCGGGTCGATGTTATTAACGAATGTGTAAAGTTTTTGTTGTTGTGCCCCACTGCCAAAGCAGTATCACACTGTCATCGTTTAATTAAGAAATGGAACGAGAATAAGCCATTAAAAACAATGTATTGGACAACTTTCCATGAACGTAATTTCTGAAAACAACTATCACGTAGTGGCTGCGACTGAAGCCGTGAAGTGAGGGACTTCCCAGCTGACCTGAAAAGAGGATCCGTCGCTGGAATTCATGCTCAGGGTGGTCTGGTTGTAGAGGCACGTGGAATGGGCGCTGCAGTTGCACAGAGTGAGGTTGAGCAGCAGCGCAGAGGAGGCTTTGCCGTCGCTGGCGCTCACCACGCCAAACGCTGGCTCCGAGCTTCTGGGGCTCCACGTCAACTTCCCATCGGCTGCAACAGCCAGCACCCAAAAACCACGGTCATTTTGTTACACTGAGGGACGTAGTGGCCTCTCGTGACGGGAGATATCAAGTGAACCCATTATATACAACGTGCACGGATTGAATCATCAATTCTTACACACAACGCAGAATTTGATGGCTATATTATTGAAAATTAATTTTAGTAATGGGAAAGTCCAAGTAATCCCAGATCATATACAATTACAATCTTTATTATAATAATAGGGGTTTTCCCCTTCTTTCTGGCAACAAAACTGAAACATTTTTTACAAGGATTCATGTCTGCATTAACCACAATACTTGCAGTCAAAATGCAAACAAACAACACACTGATAATATATGCATTGTCCTTGAAACTGATTGGTCCACACCAGAGACAGCTTTCTTTAGAGCCTGGTCTCATAATAATAGGGTTTTTCCCCTTTTTTCTGGCAACAAAACTGAAACCTTTTTACAAGGATTCATGCCTGCATTAACCACAAAACCTGCAGTCAAAATGCAAAAAAAACATACTATGATAATATATGCATTGTCCTTGAAACTGCTTGGTCCACACCAAGGGACGGCTTTCTGGCGTCATCTGGTCGAGCATTAACCACAATACTGCAGGTATTGTGGTTAATGCAGGCATGAATCCTCGTAAAAAGGTTTCAGTTTTGTTGCCAGAAAAAAGGGGAAAAACCTTATTATTACATTTTGGTACTGGCAAAGGAGGTCTAATGATGAAGCCTGGTCTCAATTGGTGCTAGTCCAGATGATGCCAAAAGGCTCTGGTGTGGATCAATCAGTTTCAAGGACAATGCATATATTCTAGATTTGAAGCTTTTGTGACTGCAAGGATCCATACTCTTTGGTTCTATTCGGTAAAGTCACGTAGGTAAAAATAAAATGACAAAAAATCACGACGTTTCGGCCACAACACAAGTGGCCTTCATCAGGTGAAAGGACTGGACTGTCCAGAGGACAACGCTGTCCTCTGGACAACGCTGTCCTCTGGACAACGCTGTCCTCTGGACAGTCCAGTCCCTTCACCTGATGAAGGCCACTTGTGTTGTGGCCGAAACGTCGTGATTTTTTGTTATTTTATTTTTACCTACATGACTTTACCGAATAGAACCAAAGAGAATGCATATATTATCAGTGTGTTTTTTGTTTGCATTTTGACTGCAAGTATTGTGGTTAATGCAGACATGAATCCTTGTTTAGTAGCCTTATTGACGTCGGAGACTGTTCTTTGGAGGCAACACGTATTTATTACAGACACTTCAATTACAGTGACGAATCTGATACTTGAAGAGGTAACGGCCTCTTCACCCGTACTCTATAGAGGGAACGTTCCTCGAGATCTAGCCCATGCTAGCTCCCTGGTTCCCTCTATCCTGGTCCTCTCTCAGGAGGCTATCTGACCTGGCCCAGCTTCGGCGCAGGTCCCGATCACCAGCCACACGAGTCCGACCCTCAAAAGGACATCGAGCCTCACGGCTCTGGTGTCACACCCTGGCTTGCTTTGCCCGGCCCTCAAAAGGACAGCGGGCCAAAGGAGTTCCAGGGTCTAGCTAGTTGATCTTCTTTCTTCACTGGCTCTTCATCGTGCTTGAGTCAAACTGCCCGTCAGCTCTCCGGGTCCCACCTTTTATACAGTCCCTCTCTGAGGGGTGTGGCTGGGAGGGATCACAGCATCCCCCACAGCCCCCCAGGGTGGTGGCCGTAGCAGACGTGGTTGTAGCCACCGCCCTACAACCGCGTGTCCCCCTCCCCGTAACACCTCTACACTTTAAAAAAAGGGTTTCAGTTTTGTTGCCAGAAAAAAGGGGAAAAACCCCATTATATTTTGGTACTGGCAAAGGAGGTCCAATGATGAATTACAATCTTCTTACACTGTACAGTATACAGAGTATGTTTAAAATCCAAATAAAATGGTCATCAATGTACACAATCGTAAGTTACAAAACGTACGTCGCAAATTAGAATCCTGGACATGCACAAACTACTCACGTGTGATTGTGAGACCTGACGAGTTGGTTGCCATGAAGAATACGATGGTGTCGTTGTTGGGGTCCTCTGCATTGATCTGCACCGAGACCGTTTGATTGAGGCTGGTGAAGAGTCGACCGCCCGTTGTAATGTTGGGAGGGAAGTTTTCTGCAACAGAAATTGAACAAGGGTCGTGTAAGAACTATGCCAAAGTCATGTAAGAACTATGTCATCCTCTTCACATATAACACGAACCACTTATCTATAAATAAGAGTTCGCTCTATGACGTCTTCCAGTTATTTTTTGTCGAACCATGTATAGGTATTCTTCCAATAACGGGATCACGTGATGTAAAAACACAACGATCGCATTGAAAGCCTCTAGAATGTCCCCCTCCGAACGGAGACGGGGGGGGGGGGGCATAAATTCCCCGATCAGCCCCGATTTCGGCGCGCTAGGTGCCAACTTAAAGGGGGGGTGGGAGATCAGGTGGTGACCACGAGTGGGGACATGAACGTTTATACCGGGAGGGGAAAAGGGTAGAAAGGGGGAAAATAATAAACATACTTGGTGAAAGAAAGGGACAAGGGGAAGGGAGGAAAGGGACTGAATACCCTTATTAAATATGTTCTCCGTTCCTCTGTGAGATACGGAGCCTTCGCTTTCCCAATACTCAACCACCTGTTGGAAATAAAGTACCATAAGAGGGTCATTATAAATCAGTGGGATCTCTATAAATGGATCACCCTGTATAACCGAGCCTATAATTACGAGTTAATTTCGGTTCATTCAGTTCCCTGCCGTTCAGCAGGATGTCTGAAGTGTTCCGTGGCGGGAGCCCCGAAACATTCGGTTCCTGAAGGAGATTCCAATAAGCGGAGCGTGACTTCAGACATTGGTGGTACATCCCATATAAATATCAGGGAGCTATACAGCAGGAACGCTA